AGGTTTGTGAGAAGCAGTCGACCTCTGGCGTACAGTATCCGGTAGCGCAAAGTTTGAGACCCTGAAATCTTCGCGATGTCGAAGTCTGCGGTGAAGATGGAGGGGCAGCCTTTTGGAAATTTTAGTGGACCCTCGCCCCACTACGACCTGGCGCGACAGGGATTGTGCAGCTCAAAAACTTTAGTACCACTTCAGCCTTGCGCGACCGGTTCCAAGCATAGAGTGAGGCCAAACCTCACTGAGTGCCTACAAATACCCCATCAGGCGCGCCCTCTTGATCTTGCTGCCGCACCGAAGAGCCACCTGTTCAATCGCCAATATGTCGGGCAGGCGCGACTTCCTGAGCCAACCGGCTCCCGAAAACTACGTCGCTGGTCTTGGTAGAGGTGCTACCGGCTTCACTACGCGATCAGATCTGGGTCCTGCACGCGAAGGACCGACTGAGGACCAAATCAAGGAAGCGGTCGCCAAGCGCGCAGCACAACTCGGCTTAGGCACCGACGGCAAGAAGGCGGAGGAGAAGGACGATGACGATGACCGGTTCAAGGACCCCGATAACGAAGTCGGCCTTTTCGCAGGTGGCGTGTACGACAAAGATGACGAGGAAGCCGACAGGATATGGCAAGAAGTTGACGAGAAGATGGCGAGGAGAAGGCAGAAGCAACGAGAAGCGCGCGAAAAGGCCGAGCAAGACGAATACGAACGGAAGAACCCCAAGATTGCACAACAATTTGCGGATCTCAAGAGAGCGCTTTCGACGGTTACCGACGAGGAATGGGCGAGCCTTCCTGAAGTTGGAGATCTGACAGGGAAAAACAGGAGAAGCAAGCAGACCTTGCGACAACGCTTCTACGCAGTTCCAGACAGCGTTCTGGCTGCTGCGAGGGACTCATCAGAGCTGGGCACCACGGTTGCGGATGACGGAGCAGCATCAAGCTCCGAACAAGCGGACGGCACGATGACGAATTTTGCCAAGATTGGTGCTGCCAGAGACAAAGTCCTCAAGTCTAGGCTCGAGCAAGCGTCACAGGACGGAACCGAATCATCAGTCGCCGGTAGCGCATCGAGTATCGATCCCAAGGGCTACATCACCAGTCTGAACAAAAGCGTTCTCAACGAATCGCAAGCGCAAGTCGGCGACATCAACCGTGTACGCGAGCTGTTAACATCGGTGATCAAAACGAACCCGAATAATGCGCCGGGTTGGATCGCTGCGGCTCGCTTGGAGGAACTGGCCGGCAAGACGGTAGCTGCACGGAATGTGATAGCACGCGGGTGCACACACTGCCCCAAGAGTGAGGATGTGTGGCTGGAATATATTCGACTCAACGATGGAAAAAATGCCAAGATTATTGCCGCCGAGGCAATCAAGAAGAATGATCGATCTGTGCGTCTCTGGGTCGAGGCAATGAGACTGGAGAATGAGCCTAGGGCGAAAAAGAAGGTCATCAGACTCGCTCTGGATCATATTCCGGAATCAGAGGCACTATGGAAGGAAGCGGTCAACCTCGAAGAAGATCCGGAAGATGCCCGGTTGCTGCTCGCCAAGGCAACAGAGCTTATACCCCTATCCGTTGATCTGTGGTTGGCTTTGGCAAGACTGGAGAGCCCTGAAAACGCCCAAAAGGTGCTCAATAAGGCACGAAAAGCAGTGCCTACGTCTCACGAGATTTGGATTGCGGCTGCTCGACTGCAGGAGCAGCTTGGCCAGGGTACGAAGGTCAACGTCATGAAGCGTGCCATTGCAGTTCTGGTCAAGGAGTCCGCCATGCCCAAGCGCGAGGAGTGGATTGCCGAGGCAGAAAAGTGCGAGGAGGATGGCGCTGTCATTACGTGCGGAAATATTATCAGAGAAACACTTGGCTATGGTCTCGACGAAGACGACGACCGCAAGGACACCTGGACGGAGGACGCCCGAGGCAGCATCAATCGCGGCATGTACGAGACAGCACGCGCCATCTACTCATATGCGCTGCGTGTTTTTGTCAACAGCAGGACATTATGGATGGCTGCCGCCGACCTGGAAAGAAATCACGGAACAAAGGAATCGCTCGCCCAGGTCCTGGAGAAGGCTGTCGAGGCATGCCCCAAGAGTGAGGTCCTGTGGATGATGTTGGCCAAAGAGAAGTGGCAAGCCGGCGAGGTCGACAATGCCAGATTGGTACTTGCAAGGGCTTTCAAGTCTAACCCGGATAACGAAGACATTTGGCTTGCTGCTGTCAAGCTCGAAGCCGAGAACGGAGAGACCGAGCGCGCTCGTAAGCTACTGGAGGAAGCCCGCGACCAGGCCCCCACGGATCGCGTGTGGATGAAGAGTGTGGTTTTCGAGAGAGTGCTGGGCAACAGCGATGCGGCACTGGATCTTGTCCAACGGGCGCTGCAGTTCTTCCCTGCAACGGCGAAGTTGTGGATGCTCAAGGGACAAATCTACGAGGACCTTGGAAAGGTCGGCCAGGCACGCGAGGCCTACAGCACAGGTGTCAAGGCGGTGTCAAAGTCTATTCCATTGTGGCTGCTCTACTCTCGACTGGAAGAGAAGGCCGGACTTGTCGTCAAGGCTCGCAGTGTTCTCGACCGAGCCCGACTTGCGATACCCAAATCGGCCGAGCTTTGGTGCGAATCTGTCCGCATCGAAAGACGCGCGGGCAATCTCAACCAGGCCAAGTCTCTCATGGCTAAGGCACTCCAAGAGGTGCCCAAGAGCGGACTCTTGTGGAGTGAACAGATCTGGCACTTGGAACCACGGACTCAGCGCAAGCCGCGGTCACTAGAGGCTATCAAGAAGGTGGACAACGACCCTATCCTGTTTGTGGCTGTGGCCCGAATCTTTTGGGGCGAACGCAAGCTCGAGAAGGCACAGAATTGGTTCGAGAAGGCGCTGGTGCTGGACAGCGACAATGGCGACACTTGGGCTTGGTATTACAAGTTCTTGCTCCAGCACGGAACAGACGTAAGTAGCTGCCTTGATGGCTATCGATGTGAAGTTCGTAAGCTAACTCGATCTCAGGAGAAACGAGCGGATGTCATCAACAAATGTGTCTTAAACGAGCCACGCCATGGCGAACACTGGCAAGCGATTGCCAAACAGCCCACCAATGCAAGGAAGGGAACCGAGGAAATCTTGAAGTTGGTTGCTGAAGTGTTGGAGAAATGAATTATGTAATAGCCTGTGTATCAAACGTCAAATTCGGGTCGGTCGGGAAGGATAGAGGAGAAAAGGTCACTTTCAAAATCAACGAGCAGGCAGTGAAGAATGCCACGAGGAAGCCCCGTGGACTTTCAAGTAATTGAACATGATTCAAAGTATTATAATTGATTCGTACTGCGACTCCTAACCCAGAGCTGAGAAAGCAAACCCGATGCCCATTGTCATGATTGATCCATTACGTAGAGAACACAAGAAAATGATCGCCAGAGTAGTCGTCGGGCTTATTTGCCGCCGAACCAGCTGGAGATGCCGCTCTTGGCCTTGGCGGCTTCGGTCTCGACGGTCTTGTCAAAGGCGTCGACCTTCTTCAAGGCTTCGGCCTTTGCGTCCTTGGCATACGCCTCGACGTTGCTCTTAGTGGCAGAGAACTTCTTGTCGGCCTCAGCGACCTGGCGAGATTGTCAGCGACGATTGATCATTGAAGATGTGCTGGAGGCAGGTCGGGCAGAGGTGAACTTACGGCCTCGTCGAGCTTAGCACCGAATTGCGCGCCCTTGTTCTGGGCGTCGGGCGTGCGTCCGGGAAGATGAGACTTGACCTCGGCGGATGCCTTGTGAACGTCACCTAAATAACGTGGGTCAGCCTTTGAGATGATGAAAAAGCGGCGATGCGACGGGTAAAACATACTCTCGAACTTCTTCTCCGCGGCGGTAGGGTTTCCGCCAGCGCTGTAGAGGTAGTAGCCGACACCGCCAGCGGCAGTGAGACCGAGGAAAAGGGGAGCCTTCTTGGACATATTGATTGGATTTGTGTGTAGTGTAGGGTGTAGTAGAGCTGATTGACGTGTGACCTCTGAGCTACGATCGGGAGAAGCCTGAAGCTATCGTCGTGGTTGTGTGATTTAATTGATTGAATTAGAGAGAGGAGAAAGGGAGCAGCCTTCGTCACGAGAAAGAGCAGGATGGCATGATCTATTAGTACCCTGCTATCGAATCACTGGCGCCGCAGCTCTTGTCTCATTTCTTGCGCGGTTACACTCCTTCCCACACGCCTCCTGGAACCAAACCACACCAGTGAGCTGCACTACCGACATGCTGTCGACCTGGGGCAAGCAGGCGAGGAACATTTGGAGCTACGAAAGCTCCGGTTGACGTGAAGGTGTGAGGGATACATGACGTAGAGCAGCATAAATGCGGGGAATGGGAAGTACATACATAACTTCCCCCCAGCCGCTCCTGGCCGAAGAGCTCCACTTGGGACGGGAACCACGAACTCAGCATGCACAGGCCATCACCTCCAGAGGGGACGGGCACGATACCTGGCGATCACGCGAAACCGGATGGAGGAATGAAGTATTTGTGACGTACCTCTTCAGACCTGACCCTGGTAAGAGTGCAGCATCCACTGGATCTCCAGCGTCACCTCAGCTTGTCAAAGCTCCGAAAATCAGCTGTCACTTTCGATGTATGCCTAAGGTAGGGAGTAATGTTCTACTCTATTCATCCAGGTCTCCTTACAACTTCCACTGAGCGCAGATGGACCTCTCAGCCGACGATCGTGCCCGTCAAACCGTCGCCTGTGGCTTTACAGTGCTCCATGTGCTTCAGTGAGGTTTTGCACGTTAGGTAGCATGAAAACACCTGTTTGAGCTGACTCTCTGGCACGCAAAGCTGAGGTGGTGGCTAGGGGGGGGGCTCGACGCTCGCTGGAAAAAGCTGGGACATTACATCATCGCCGGAGCTGAGTACGCGACACCTCGCAGGCTCACAGGCTCCTGGACTGACTGACAGGCCCGTGGAGTGCATGAGCCGACCCGTGTTCAGCTTTTGGGTCTAGGCCCCCAAGACCAGCCAACGCCTCCTGCTTTCCTTTCGTTATTGTTATTGCTGCATCGTGCTAGCCTTGTTCAGCGTCCTCCATTTGGCCACTGCCAGCCGATAGTGGTCTAGCCCACGCTAGGTCCGAAGAAGAGGTCCCAATTGACTTCCCTGAATTCCTCGCTCGTCGGACCATCGACCTTGTAGCCTCACATCGGCCCTCTCCCTCTACGGCCTCTTTTCCATTCCCACCCGTCGACGGGGCGCGCTTGGTAACATCATTTGTGTGAGCAGATTCGACACAATGTTCAGGTAGCCCACTCAGACTACGCTTCTGTATTCCACCATTCCAGGGCGAGAGCCGCCAATCACCTCCGAGAAGGAAGCTAAAGCACCTCCGGCCCGGATTCCAATTCTCCCCCCACCAACGACGAACCCCCTTTCACCCTCAAGGGTGCCGTTCGGGTCTCACTCCGGCATTGAGCCTCAGGGCGGGCATCAACACGGAAGCGCTCAGACACCGGGCGAGCGAGGCTGCGATACAGCGTTAGAGCGATGCCTTCCTTTCGAAGCTCTCGTCGGGTCACCGGCTTGAAAGATAGTGACTATGACCACGAGATCAGCCTAGTCAACCACGATAACCGCGGTTCACCGAGCACCGAAAGCCTTAGCAGACCTACCCGCGCGTCGACCGGTTCGCAGTTACTCCGTGATGAGGACACTACTGGGAGTCACGATGCGGAACCGAATGGGAACCGCAGTACGGAACACAATACCGATCAGGATGCCAGTACGTCTGGACGCTCAGCAGAGCCAGAACAAAGTCAGCAGTCGAAGGCCGCTGGGCATCGGAGTGCTCCCACTCTTGAACCCCAAACGACAACGGCCACCACAGCACCGTCTATCGAAGTCGAAGGTAAGAGATAGCCATGTCTAACTAATGGTGCAGGTTCTGATACTACATATTGAAACAGAACCCACGCCCATGGAAGGCACAATGCCCGGCAGAAGCAGCAGTCAACGACGGAGGCCAGCCACGGCGGATCGAGAAACAGCTATTGATGTGTTGTGGGAGAACGAGCGAGGCTGCTTTGTTTGCCGGGTTGCCCTATTTTCCGGCAAGGCTTTGGGCAACCTCGACCCGTCGCCTTGGACGAACCAATTTCACAAGACGAGTCCCACCACAACCAAGACAGCACAAGTACCCGACCCATCCTGGGAGTGGGTATGGCCTGAGTGGAAGATACATCGCGAAGAAGGTGTGGCCATGGACGAGTTCGGCTGGGAGTACTCGTTTATGTTCTCCAAGAGATATTCCTGGCATGGTCCGAAATGGTGGAATTCCTTCGTCCGGAGGAGATGCTGGGTTCGCAAGCGCATCAAGAAGAAACCGGAAGACATATCGGAAGACCCGCACATGCTGAACTCCGACTACTTCACCGTTACGCCTGCCAATCACAGCCGTTCCTCTAGTGTGGCACGTAGCCGGCGAGAAAGCGTCAGCAAGGCGAGTGTACAGACCAGTGTGGCAGAGGAGAAGCAAGACATTGAAGACGTGTGGACTCTTATGGCCGTACTTCGAGGCTCTCGCATCGACCGCGAAAAGATTGAGGCTTTTGAGAATTATCTCGCGCATGCCAAAGACAACCTTGAGCACTTACAGGAGGAGATGCACGATGTTATGGGCATATTTGTGTTTCAGGCCTCGAGAAGACTGCTGTTGAGTCGCTTGACCCAGATTTATGACGAAGCTGTCGTTGCAGACGAAGAGAAGCACGAAGATGCAGACAAGGCAAAAGAAAGAGAAGAGAGAAGGAAACACCTTGCAGCGGCAATCAAGCACGCAGACGAAGAAGTCAAGAGGCTTTCGTATTGGAGCGATGTCAAGGGGCTTGCAGAGAATGGCGAAGCCAAACACGCTGTTGCAGAAGATGAGGGATGGAATAAGGGGTGGGAAGGTGTTGATCAGAGCGGTCCTGCGCAGCCCAACTCGGGTGCCTTACCTGGTTCGCCAAAGAAGTAATAGGGACGGTGTGGTAATCATTCTTTTCTTGTATACCCGACTTCATATATACAAACTTGCTAGTCATTGCCTGCAGTACGGATACCTTGCTGTGAAGTAGTTGAATGAACAGTGCAAAATAGTAAGATCAGTGTCGCCCACACTGTTGTCGGCCGGCAGGGGTCGGGTCAAATTTCTGGGGCCGAAAGACCGGGATCAATCGGCGCGAAGTGGAAATTCTTCTGCGGATAGCTTGCCCGCGACTTCAGCGAAACTGATGGCATTGGTTCCATCACACCAAATGCAACAAATTTCAAGCCCAGCACACAACATGGGCCATTCATAGCAAATGTCCCTGGGAATCACGCTATCATTGAGAGTCCGATCTCACCGTATCGGCTCTTCTGGGATCTCTCCGATTTCCAGGGTTCCTCAAAGATGGTCTCGGGCGCCTCGAGCTCAACTACCACTTCCTCGTCAATGGGTGCACACAGCTACCGATGCAGTCAGGCCCAGCGCGGTTGAGACTCCCACGCCGCGATCTCGAATCGAAGACGAAGAAGCGAACCATGGCATCAACCCGACCTGCGATACCGCCGTGAATACTACCTTGGAAGTCCCGACCGTCGAAGATGAAAAGATCAAGACGCCACCGAGATTTGAGAACTTGACGCTAGGTGACGGTCCGGACACAAAGCCGAAGGAAACACGTAAACCTACGACGTTGCATCCACTTGATACCATCGGCGAGCGTCGTAAACCTGTTGAGTACCTGCTCAAAGATGCCAGCGAACGCAAGTTCAAACGACCGAACAAGACGGGCCCTACCCAAGTACAGCATGACTCTATACTCGTTACGCCGACGATACGTTACCAGCCCCAGCGAGAATCTCGAGCCAGTGTTCAACGATTTCACCAAAGCATAACCAGGCAAATCTGGCTCGAGACGGTCCGACAGGTCAAAAAGGGGTCATTCAGCAACTGGCGCAATACTTTGGACCTTCTTCGACGACAGACACGGCCTGTCAAGGGGCCATGGCAGCGCAATGTGCGTAAGATCACAGTCGGGGTTGAACTCGCATATACGCTCCTTCACGACGTCGATCAAACTATTTGGGACATACACGAACAAACGAGATGTCATATTGAGATGCGATGGCCAAAGGATAAAGAAGGGACACTCAGTGAAGTGGGATATCTTTTCCTCTCAGGCGACGAGGATGCTTTGGAACACGCGAGCCGAGAAATCTCTAGACTCGCCGCTCGAGCCGACAGCACGATCAGCATAGAAGGAGCTATCGGCAGCAACTTCTCTACAACACGGCGTGACGAGGTAGCTGGAGCAAAAAATGAAACTGTGTGGAAAAGTTCCGAGGCAGAGCAGCGTCCAGCGTATATGAGGGAATACTCACACAAACACAAATACGAAAGTATCCCGAAGCCGAAAGAATGGACGCCTGATTCGTTCTTGGCCTACATAACCGCCATCACAAACGCAAGGATCACTACGCATGACAAGTACAAGATGTACGGTGCGGGCCCTGCTGCCGACAACGCGGCTCTCAAGCTCCTTTTCAGCGCGTTCACAGACGAGTCTTCAAGACATGCGCGGTCGAGGCGCGCATTCAAACAGGCTTTGCGATTTATTGAGCTACGTGGTAATGCCTATCGTAATCACGCCCGGGACCTTTTCCAGAGCCAGCGAGATGCACCTTTTTCGATGGATACCGGCGTCTTCAACATTATGCTGGAAAACTGTGCCAAGTTGAAAGATCTCCGCAACTTTCACGGCGTGTTAGGGATGATGATTAGCTATGGTTGCCAGCCAAACGCGAAAACATGGGCGTTATATATGGAGATGATTGAGAGCAAACAAATCATTCAGCATGTTCTTCGACTCATGCACTCGCTCGGCCTGCTTCTGGATCCCGGCGTCGTGCCACTCGTCACGAAGCAACTCGTCACGGAGGACATACGTAAGCTGGAACACAACTGGCCTGGTATCCGCTCATTCCTCGAGACCCTGACCGCCAAGTACGGTACGGGCTGGTCATCGAGGCCAGTCATGCACGCCATTATGAACGAACTCGGACGTATGGGCAATTTCGCCTCGTGCTGCGACCTCTGGGACATCATGGCCGAGTCTCGAAATACCTTTCCTACCACGCTCACGCTCAACACGATGCTTCAACATGCGAAAACCCAGCGCCATCTCATATTCGCCACGGCCGCTTTGGAGAAGGCCCACAAGCACTTCGTCGCGATGAACGAGCAATCATACCACATACTCTTCTTCCTTGCCTTCAGGCTCGACAGGCCCAATGCTATGGGCGTCATCTGGCGTTATGCTTGTATAGCGGGCAGAACCAGCTCAGATATGCGCAATCAAATCAGCAACTGGCGGTACGGCGTCAACCCGGAAAATGTTCTGCAGCACGCCATCGAGCCGAATGCTAAAGCCCACGCGGCCCCCTCTGCTCTGCCAACCTGGTTCGATCAGGACGTAACAGGGCCGAACCAAGTCAACGGTGCCCGGATCAGCAAGGCCACGCACGAGTATTTCCGGGAGCACAAAATGCGACCTTGGTACCCGCTCCATCAGCTCCTCTCGTGGGCCTGGGAAGCCGACGGGAAAATCATCGCAGCGGTCAAGAAGGCCAAGCGGCAGAGCCTGCAGCATTCCCCTCCCATGCCACTGCGTACCGTCACTACGCCGGGAATCATGGTTATGTACCAGCGGAACGGGAAGGGCCTACGGACGCATCACATGCAGTTGAAGATTGAGCATGTTGCAGCCACGGATGACTTGCCACCGTCATCCGTTGATGGAGACGACCAGATAACATCATCGTCCGTGAACGAGGACAAGACGACAATGGTGCCGATTGAAGGTATCACAATACCGTCAACGAAAGAAGGCCAGCCATCTTCATCGGTTGACACAGACAGCCAACCATCACCGTCTGTTGACAATTACAAGACAACGATAGTGCCGACCGACGGGCTCACAATACCGGCAATTCAAGACGTGTAGGCTCAAAATGGGGACCAGAGTCAAAGCGTCTACCTAGGAAAACAGCCATTTTGCAAAATTATTTATATTAGAGACAACTATGTACAACAAAACCCCCTTCTTCTTGTTGGATAGCTAAGAGGCAGCTGGGGCTCGGGGAGTGCAAAATACCCATAGAATTCTGTACAAAAAGACATACTTTGATGATAAATATTTTCCAAAATGTGAAATTGCATCCTTGAGCATGACCAAAGGAGCTGGTATGATATAAGTGTACTACTGTATTCATCCATTCCATGTCTTCGTTACTAGTTTCCAAGGTATGCATGTATCGATACTCTTTGGCCAATTTTACTCACAGCTGGTTCAAGAACAAGACACGTTAGATCTCTAGAGGCCAATGAGAGAGAAAGACTCCTCTTCTCAATAGGAGGAAGGTTAAGAAAGTAGCAAGTATAAAAAGGGGTTGGTGGGGTTATGCAAATGATCATAAGTAAGCGTGACAACTAGGTAAGCCCGCAGAGGGCTACTAGCTAGGAGCACGCAAAGATTGAGTCTTTTGAACTCTCTCAACATGCGGCCAGCCCTCTCTCTCCCTCTCTCCCCCATCGAGCTGCCGCGACTGCTTTCATCATCCCACTATGCCTAATCACAACCCTGTCAACGGCCTCCGGGACACCCAACATGATGAGGAAAACAACACGAGAAACATCCATTCATCCATTCCAGCCAAGCCATTGAAAAAGTCTCTCAAGCCTCTTAAAAGTCATACGGATCCGTTGAGTCCGGTCTCTTTCAGGCCCGAGTGCACGCCCACGTCATTCATCAAGGTATAGAAAGTCAATATTCCCGGCCGCTGAGCTCACTTCTCCTTGCTCTCCTCTGTAGACGCGGGGACTGCGGCCGACTTTGACTCTTCCGTGGTCTTGTCCGCCGCCTTGACCTCCTCCGTCTTCGGGGCCGACTTGTCCTCAGCCTCGCTATCCTTGCTGGTTGCCGAAGAGGCCTTGGAGACCTGGCTCTCGAGGTCCTTGTCCTCCTCAGCGTTGTCAAACATCTCCGTGTCGTCAGAGTCGGTCAGAACCTCAGTGCCGTCGCCAAGGAAGATGATGCGGCCCTTGTAGCCACCAATGCCGAAGGGCTTGCCCTTGTTCTCCACATCCACGTCGTAGCCGCTGTCACTGTCGTCGAAGTTGTGGTGAACTCCAGGACCGCGGAATTCAGCTAGTTGCAGGTGATGGATCAGCGCTCCTCCTTTGGAAAGAAATTATGGGACACAAAAACAAACGATGGCTACAAAAAGGGGGATAATGGTTGTATTATGGGGATAGAGAGTGTGGTCTCATGATAGTGCAAATGGAGGTCGGCGCGCGCTCAACTCCTTAGGAAGATGTGGATTCGGACGTGGATTCAGTCGTACCGTATTCGGGAGGGGCGCAAGGTCCGTCTCCAGCAGCAACCCGCTTGGCAATCTCCTCGTACCACTCCTCCTTGGTCTTGCCGCGCAGAAGACCGATGATGCACATGGTCATGTTGTCGCAGCCAACACCTCCGGTCTCCGAGTTGGAGGCCAAGCAGTTGTCCATCATGTTCTCGCAGATCTTGTCCAGCTCCTGCTTAGCCGCAATACCACGACGGACGAACTCGACAACAGCCTGAGAAGACTGGCAATCCCAGATACCTAAGAATGTTGTCAGCCTGTGATCTCTTTCCTCATATCCGGCGCTTCCAGCTTACCGTCGCAAGCAATGACCAAGAACTCATCGTCGTCGCTGATCTCGTGGGTCTCGACGTCAGGGAAGGCGGTGACGATCTGGGCCTCGGGCGAGAGCTCTGCGCTCTTCTTGAACTCGAAGTCACCAATGGCGCGGGAGAGAGCAAGATTGCCGTTAACACGGCCAAAGTCGACAAAGCCACCGGCGGCTGTGATACGAGACTTCTCGGCTATGGGAGGATTCCAAGTCAGCTTCAGGTATTGTTGCCTTTGCCATGGCCTAGTACTCACCCTCGAGCTGGGGCTTGTGGTCCTGGGACAGGGGCTTAGCCCGTCCCTTGATACCAAGAACGCTTCTCGAGTCGCCAGCGTTTGCCTAGTCGCGGAACGGTCGGTAAGTAATGCGAATACATCGCGCAAAAGCGGACGTAAGCAAACTCACAACGTAGATCTTGTTGTCCGAGATCAGGCCAACGCAGGCAGTGCAGCCAGAAACCTCCTCTTCGTACTTGGGATCTGGTACACCCCAAGGTTAGCTCATGTATGCAGCATAGGGGGCAACAATTGGTGAGGGCCAAAACCGCAGCACAGCTGAGCCTCCAGGTACTGCCAGATCCTAGGTTGTGAATTTACCGTTGAGAATCGCCCGATCGGTTGCCAAGAAGCCATCCTTCAACGCCTGTTCGTAGTTGCCCTTCTTGAAGGTCTCCTGCTTCTTGATGATGTCGTGAATGTTCTCTCCAGCAAACAAGGCTACTTTGTCGCCGCCATGTCCGTCAAATACTCCAAAGAAGGAGAGTTTTGACTCGTGTTTCTTGGCTTCGTCGCTGCCGGGGGTGAGAAGGTCGAGGATGGTGATGTGAGCATCCTCCATGCTTATGCGCCAGCCCTGCATGGCAGAGACGCCGTAGAGAAGGCGCTCATCTTCGCCCTTGGCCGAGGACTATAATTGTGGAAAGTGAAGTTAGTAGGTTGAACCAAGAGTCTGTTGAGTTGTAGGAATACGTCATCGGGTGAACATTGCTGCGAAAAAACAGATCCAAGCCACCTTGCTGTGTCGCCTGCCCGCGCGATGTCACAGGCAGGAACGGCCGAGGCAAGCGAGGGGTCGGAGGGGACCCCGGGGCTGGCTGCGAACAAAGAGAAAGAGGCCGCAAAGGAAGTAGATTAAGTATGAGGATGTAATGATGGGCATATCGAGGGAAAGCAGCGCGTCTCGGGAGAGGTGAGGGTAGCGGTAGATTATGACATACCTTCTCGACAACGGGCTCGGAGAGAGTTTGACCCATGGTGACGGATGCAATGAGTCGGCAGCGCAGCTACCGGGTTCGACTGGATGTTTGGTCGGTCAAATCGTAGTCGGAAGCGTACGTCGGTATCGTAAGGTTGCCAGAGAGGAGAAATTTTTTTCAGGGCCAGTCGTGCGTGCGCAAGAAGGCTGTGAGGAAAAAAAGAGGCGAGGTGACAGGAAGGTGGTGCGGTAGCAAAAGGTTCTAGATCGCGCACACTCGAGAGGAAGCGGGGTATCCGAATCGCAAGGGAAATGGGCAGGGGACAGGCGTCGATCCCTAAGAGATGTTGGGTCTGCTATCACAGGTAGCAGAGGGTCGAGTTCGGGGTGCGGTAATGCGAGGAAATTGGTCGCGCCCAAATTGTGAGGTTGCGCAAGAGAAGTGAGGGAGGTAGAAGGAGGGAAAAAATGACCCGAACTCAATCGTAGCTCGGTGTGGGTGAGGTTGTGAGTAGGAAGAGTTTTCTGGATGGGTGATGAACAGAGACCAGGTCGCGTGTTGTGGTGAGTGGTGAGTTGGTGTGTTGTAAGGCAGAGCGAGAGCGTGTGTGGTAGCGGTAGGTAGCCCCGGGGTCAACAGTGCGATACGGAAAGCGCAAGCAACGCGGGACAGGACAGGGCAGGATAGGACAGCCCAGCCGCGGACAACAACCTACCTTAAGCTGGGGCAAGCAGTTGCTTGCCCGGATTGCTGGCCCCGACTTGCTCTACCTACCTACCTAAGGTACCTAGGTAGGTAGGTAGGTACCTTCCATAGTAAAGTCGGAAGTGTGGTGACTCCAACGCCGCGAGGAGGCGGTACGTACTACCAATCTCGACCACCATAAAGATACTACACACCTTAAGGTAGGTTACCTTACTTACTTACCTACCAACTATCCTGATGTAAGGAACCAAGGTAGCGCACGACAGGAAAGGGGCCAGTCTTGTATATCCGTTCAAAGGTCAGTTGGCGACAGGACTGTGAGGCGAAATCGGGTACGGATAGAAAGGCCACGCTACGGATACCTTCTCTGGCAGTGCTACGTCTGGGTATGAGTCTGGGTCTCTTCGCGGCATCCACTGCCTTGCACCAACAACAATCAAATCTGTACGAGGGGTTGGTCACATTACCAATGTCTCCTCAACTCAGTCCCTTTCAGCAACAGCGTATGTGGGTATCTATCAACCTTGCCTACCTGGAGTCAGTCACCTTGAACACTTGTAAGAAAGACCTTATTTACCAAGAACGTATTTCACCGAGTGAACAAACTTGACCCGAAGTTCTAGCGAGCCTCACAACGACGATTTGACAAGGCGAAACTGTGTAGGTAGCCAATTCCATAGACCAACGCAACGTCTCCGGCCGGAGCGGGATTTGCTTGCGCCTCTCATTCTTACTTGCATATTTCGCCCCAGTGAGACTGGCAAACGGCCGCCACCTAGCCGACACCCAAGGAGACACGTTAACCCTCATGGAGGCGGCAAGTGCAAGAACTTCGTCGTCATTGCCTGCCTGTAAGTTGTTCTGCTCAAAAGAAAAACCCAGCAAGGTTTGCGTGCTACGGATCCGATACGGAACTACCTGCTGAAAAGAGACGACTTTACCTGCAGTTGCGTCATACCCGACGTCGCGAGCTTACCACAAACAACCTACCGTATCATGCTACCCAAGCGGGCAAATATCCACACAGAAGCTAAGGTAAGGCATTTGGATCGAGGTCCAGGTTCTATTGGACTCTCACTGCCGATATCCATGGAGGTGACCGGCTACGAGAGTCTGGATTTCAGACCATGGGGAACCAATGTTGAACTCGGTGAGCACGAGTGCTATTATCTGCAAGCCACGACCAAAGCATCGAGAAACACACAGACTTCCATCATCGCGTTTAGTCAAAGTCCAACCTACCCACCTGCCATATCTACGGGTACTGCACGGTTCTCATGCAAGGGCCTCCCGCCCCTCTCTGGCTCTACCGCCAAAACAAAACAATCCCATCTCCCCCCTCCCCTTTCAGGCCCTCCCCTCTCTCCTGTGCTCCTTCTTTCCCCCGTTCCCTTCTTGGCCCGAGCGAAGCTAGGACCTGAACAACCAGACATGAATGGACGGTAAAGGAGGTCCAAGCTCTTTGCTGTCGCTTCGGGGAATCCGATCTAAGTGACTAGTATTAACCCCAGAGGCCGCTTTTCCCTAAAATACCTACCTACATATCCAATCGTGCCAATCCGAGGCTGGGGCACAGGACAGGCAGGGACCCATGAGAGTGAATGGTCTCCACTTTGACTGGCTTACCTAAGCCGTTCATTTTGCTGGGCATCTGCCATCTGGTGCTGCCTTGGGCGCGATGCTAGCCAAGTTACGGAGTAGCCAGCCCCCCACAACTTACAAGCCTTCCATTTCCGGAAGCACAGACTCAGCGGGATTTTGCTAAACAAAGACACAAAAAAGGGGTCCGCCCTATTAGATAATAAACTTTTGTGGCATCGCCAATTCAACATTACGGTCTGGGTTTCCCTGGACAGGGTTGCGGGTAGTGGTCGTTATCTCTTCTCCATGCAAAAATATTACTAGATCCTCATATCCATAGTTCCCAATTTCCATCGTCAAAGAACGGACTAAATCAAGTAAAAAACAAAACATTTGAGCAAGCGACTCTGCTCGGGGCGGGTATAACAAAATCGCAAAGACGCTTCTGAACGAGAGACAAGTTATATCGCGGGGTAACGAGGTGTGGCCATCCCGCCCATCCTCGTCACCCTTTCTCACATGAACACGCGGAAATCCTCACTGCTGCTGTCCCGCCGACTCCGAGGGCCCTTGTTCCCCACTGTTCCGGCTTCCGTCACCCAGCCAGATCCCTCCGACTCGGGCCCTGACGAGTATCGCGCCAGCCCTTTCCCCTTGCCCAGCACTTCGCTGCTTGCCCTTGATGATGCGTAATCAGGCCGGTTGCCCGAGGCACGTCGCTGCATGAGAGAGTCCCTATTCCAGCGTCCTGCCATGATGTTGGAGCTGGATGATGATTGCCGTGACAGAGGAGTTTGCTTGCCTACCCGGCTGTCCCTGTTCACCGGCCCGCTCGAGTCTTTCTTGATGATGCTGAGGGGCCGAGGAGACAGCGATGGCGTGTGCCTCATAAAGGGAGAGCTTCGTGTCAATTCCTCGTATGCGATGCCGAGCGAGTCTCTCGGTGGCGGTATCGTCCGCCAGTTCTCTGTGCCCCTTGCCGACTCCAGGGAATCAGAGTCGTCGCTGTCCAGAATGTACCTATTGCGCGAGGGAACGACAGAGCGACCGCCGAAGAAGGGACTTGAGTCAGACTTCCTGCTGATCGGTCGTGAAACTGAGCCATGACGCGAGTCCGGCCTTGAATCCTGTCGAACGAACCTGCCCCTTCCGGATCCCGATCTCGAGCTGCGAAGACTGCTTTGTGATCCCAAGTCACTCATGATAGGGAATGCTTTTCGTGGTCGTTGTGACGGCGAAAACCTATTGCCATTCGTGGGATTTGAGCCCAATGGCGTTGGCTGTTCTGGGATCGAGGCCAGACTGTCAGAGCCAGAAGCGCCCGGCAACAACTGCGACCTGTCGAGGGTCAATCTGGATGGCTCTCCCCACGGGCTCGTGTAAGCAAGGTCAGGCGTTGCCTGGATACTACTTGTTTCCGCGTTGATAGATGGGATGGTGACGTCGAGCACGCTCCGGAAAGAGTCATCTCGTTGACCCTGGAGAAAGCCAGAAGACCCAGATAATACGTCACTCGGGCCGTCGTAGGTGCTCGTCGATCCCTGATGCGTGTGCTGAGGGTGAAACAGGACGCCCTCTGTAAGCCAAGACGACGTGACGGACGGGGATCTCGGCGTAGGGCTTCTTTCGGATCCCCTCCAGTATGATGAGCGGTTGTTCGTGTTTGACTGTGACATACGAGAGCCGGTGATGGTCGAAAGCGTCCTCGATTGTCTCATCTTTTGTACAGCAGAGTTGAAATAACCCCTGCTGCGTCGATTGTCTTCAGGCTTCTTCATATCCCCAACCGATGATCCGTCTCTGCTGTGAGCCCCTCCGTTCATCACAAACGATCCAGGGACTGGTTCCGATATGCTGTTTTTGAAGTTCTCGTGGATCGATTCTCGCTTTTGCCTCCTCCTCCGGCAACATATGATTAAGAGAACAACAATGGCGAGGAATAGAAGTGGTAGGAGAATCGCCAGTGCGATATAACCAGCTTTCAAGCCTTGTTGCGGGTCGCTTGTAGGCGCAGGATTCGTTGGCTTAGTAGAAGATGTGGGGGAATCAGTGGTAGTAGTGGCTGGCAGAGGTAAGACTTCCAAGTCTGCCGTCACCGTCTCGGTCTCCTCTGAGCTTTTGGATGCCGCCTTGACGTTGACTGTAATATTCTCGGGGGATGTAGTCTTAGGCGGCATTCCCGATATGACCAAGCCATCGACGTTGATCCAGTCTGCCGAGGAGTCGATACTTAGATCAATGTCTGAAGGCGTCCATAGATACGGTTCCACGTCGAATGTGAAGTTCTTTCCCGGTGTCGCCTCGATGCTCAAGTTTGTGTTCCGGAAGATTCGCGTAACGACGAACACCGATAGAATAATGTCAAGAGTATCAGAGTAAACATCCCGGAAAGTGAGCGTAGAGTTTGAAGATTTCGCATCCTCAGGGGGATTACCCTGGATTTCGAAAGTATTATTATCGACCGAGAGCCAGCTCGGAAGGCCGGATACGGTGAGGTTCAGCTCGGATGGCGTTGTGGAATTCCCATCCAACCTAATACTGCCGGCGAGTGCCGTATATGACACATTCGTCCCTCGCGTTGCGTTGATTTCGATGGTAGGCGTGTCTGTTGTCAATCTGTGGGCACCAACAACGATAGAGAACACAACGGATACAGCCGAGAATCCGATAATATCAGAACCAACGAGGCTGAAGTCGAATTTTTGGGGCGGCTGGACGAGAGACTCGAATGGTGGTGTTTTCCCGGCAAATGTGAGGCTGCCGGCGTCAAACTTGATCCACGAAGGCAAAGGGCTGCTATCTGCGGAAGTGGCGTAGTAGTTTAGCCCATCTCCAGCATAAGAGAACGTGTCCTTGGCGAATGTGAAGGAGAAGTCGGAGGCGGGAGAAGCCACGACGGCAGATGGAGATGATGTATCGCCAAAATTCTTAATTTGCTCTGAAAGCGGGATACTGAGCTTGGGTGTAGGCCTCCTCGTCACCACGAGGGTGGCCGTCATCGTAGCAGACCCAGAATCGTCTGTTGCAACGATGTCCACCGGGATGCCCACCACTTCTCCTGCCGGAACATCTTTATCCTCGGGGGTTCCAGAGAGCCGGCCGGTGCTAGCATCGATCGAAAGCCATGCCGGCGAGTTCAGTAGGCTGTAAGATAGTCGGGATTGCGAAGAAAACGTTTGAGGTGAAAGAGTGTACGAAAATGGCTCCGATATCCTCGTCGCTGGTGGTAGCTGAGAGTTGAATGGGAAGTAAACGACTGGTACGGCTCCTGCAAGCGCAGCTAGACTCAGGAACACAGACAACATCACGTACATTGCCATGACTGATGCGTTGTACGAAAGGAGCGGCATCTGCGAGCCAGAGAAGCGGAAAACAAAAACAAAATCAACCAGAGAAGACCATGTCAAACAGAAGGTTATCTCATCAGAAACGAGAGAAGCCTAGGACGATAACTTTACCCGTAGAGGATATCCTCGGCGCGAATCTCGTGGTCCATGGCTCTCATTTTCTGGTGCTACGTGTCTCCCTTCGTGCCAGTGCTCACGCCCTGAGAAGAGATTTGCGGGTGGGCGCGTCCTCCCCGAACTGCCGCCCTTCCATGTGGTCGGTCAACGGAGGGTACTACTTCACTCGAAGAAGCAATCGTTTCAGCGTGGCAAAGGTTCACTTGCCATACTTGGAGTGTCAGAAGGCGACTAATTGAGAACTGCATTCCAGCGGCGGGTTGAAGCGCCTCAAAGGTGTTGGGGATACGTTAGGCCCTGAGGCATAGAGGGAGGCGGGATGAGACATGTCCACTCGGAACGTGTGGTTGAACGAGGTCCGGAACGTATCAGGTTTGTTCTGCGGGTTAGTTCAAGGGTTGATTAAACAGTCCATTGCTCTACATTGGACAATACATTCGTCAAGCTTATTCGGTCTTGTGTTTGACAGGAGCATACGATGGTGTAATCGGGAGTACTTTGGAGAGGCAGGAGAGCAGGATGTGTGGTTCTCTGTTTATTAGGTAAGCCATACTTGGGTATCCCGCAATATCGGAGTGTAACGAAGGCTTCTTCCGATTTCCACCCACACAAGCCACGCTTCTACCCAGTCGCCAGTGAGGCTCAAATCAACCGTCGTTGCCAGACAAATTGGAAAGAGCGGAGAGTGCAGGACCCTGAACAGGGTTGAAGCGGAAAGCGCGCAGAGAGGAAGGGGCAACCCCGCTTGAGGCAAAACGCACCTCCCCTTATCGGAAAGTCTAGATTGTCGTCGGCCTCAGCAAAACGGACGTTGAAATAAAATAAAAATAAAATCCCATGCAAAAAAGGCCAGCGATACCGCTCTTCCGTGCCTGCCATCTTTACCTCTAACACCTGACCTTTGCTTTAGGTTGATCTGCACCGTTTCCCGACAATCACTGCCTGCCTAAGTAGAAAGAGCATCGCTCAGCCGCTTGTGTCGACCTACTGCCAATAAGCTCAACTGACTTTGCCTCGCCTTATTACTTCAAGCTGTTTCCGTGCGCTCCCTGGGCTGCTTTTCACACACAATAGCATTATGCAGATTCTCAACAACCCCCTCATACCAGAGAAGATGGAGTCACTCGACCGCTCTCCCTCGCCTGAGTTTTCGCCCTTGGCCATCGGCGAAGACTTCACACCGCTCCCCACCTACAAGGCCGCAACTACGTCAGCCTATGACATGTCCGGCCTCCTGTCAACTCCCCTTCAACTCCATGAAGATCTCGCCTCGGGATGCGGCGGTCAAACCTGGCCTGCAGGCATGGTGCTTACAAAACACATGCTGCGCTACCACCGAGAGAACCTCAAGGGCGCGAGAATGTTAGTTATCAAGCCACCTCTATTGCGTACTGCCACGTCTGCTTCTTTTCTCAGCCTCGTGGTCTGTCATGTTCTACTACTGGTTCATACCATGCAGCATGATATCGGGCCCTAGTCCAAGCGCCGTCATCGCACGATGAGACATCATTTCTATGGACTGAGCTGACTCGGGGCTTTTCGGAGCAAACAGACTTGAGCTGGGCGCCGGCGGCGGACTCGTCGGACTGGCTGTGGCTTTAGGTTGTGGATTGCAGGAAACGCTGTACCTCACAGACCAAGACGAGATGTTCGAGCTGATGGAACGGAACACCAAGTTGAATGGCCTCGAAGACAAAGTTAAGCCCATGATCCTGAACTGGTGAGTAATTTACCCCCCAGCTCGCTTGCTCCCAGCCGTGCGCACCCATCCCCAGAGGATCCGTCCGGGGGACTTGGACGCCACGGGGGCCAAGATGGCTATGTGCACGGTATGAAGCCTAGGGTGCTTCGAGATCTTGGAGATGCTCGAGACCCTCGAATGGATTCGAACTCACACGGTCCACATGAACGTCCGAAGGCGTTCTTCTGCAGGAAACTCGAAGGGACTCGGGCTATCGTTCGGCTGATGTACGGATGACTGATCAATAGCTTAGGGGCGGTCCGCTATCACAAGAGGTTGTCGATTTCAAGCCCAATGTCATTCTGGCAGCCGATTGCGTCTACTTCGAGCCGGCATTCCCACTTTTGCTGGAGACTCTGACAAACCTGTTAGCGTTGGAACCAGACGCGATTATCTACTTCTGCTTCAAGAAGAGGAGACGTGCGGACATGCAATTTCTCAAGAAGGCACAAAAGGCGTTCCTGGTGACGGAAATTGTCGACGAAGATCGCCCTGTCTTCAGCAGAGAGGGCCTGTTCCTCTACACTTTTGCAAGCAAGAAGCCGACTTCAAACGGGAACCGAAAGTGATGAGATTTGATGTGATCTTCGAATGGCGACCCCATTTCTGGAGCGATAGAGCATTGCGACTCGGCCGCGGGACACCAGATGTTCACAAGCACGAGAGCTCCTTATCGGTTGAAGAGACTCTGCTTCTGCTAGACGATGCCATATCTGCCAAAGTACTCGAGCCATGGGTTAACAACAGAGGGAACGTAGTCGCAAGCAAAGTTCAAGGTGGCCGTCGGAGATGATACAAACATATCGGAGGCCGTCATTCTGCCATGCAAGTGGCTCACCCAGCGGCACAATGCAGACCGCAGAAGAGCCAGATGATGGCCAAGCTTGCACGTGGTTCCCTGATCGCATCCCGTACCCCGGCAAGCAAAGACCAGCTTGCGGCATTTCGAGTGGGTGACTTTGAGTGACGGCAATTATGCCCCGGAACTTACGTCAATATCAACGACGAGAGGCAGGGAGTTCCATCCGTGTCGTCAGTGAGATGGGCAATATCAACATCAATAGAAAGCAATTCATCAATGCACCATTCCATTAATAGTTCATACGCCATGTTGATCGTCAGGAACGGTGGAGACGATGGAGCGGGATTTAAAAACAACCCGAACTGCGATGTTCGACTGCTTGGTCTATGCCATCACTCTGCACAAGTATTACTCGACTTGCCCGGGACCATCAAGAATAATGAGATACAACAGTTGCTGCGGCCGATGTTGGTGACCTGGTCAAGTATCACAACTTCAACGTCCAACACACACCGGCAACTGGAATGAAGAAGGTGTGAGGGTTTTTCTTTCCACATTGGCTTTCAGCCAGCTGAAGGCTCCTGCACGCCCTTTAAGGGCTCATCCAGTGAGATGCCAGAGTGGAAAATGTCTGCAGATTTGGCGCTCGTGGAACGTGATCCGACGTGTTAGAATACCCACCGACTACTGCAGGTTGGTTGGCAAGTCCGCAAGTGGCAGAATGGGCCCCCAGAGAAGATGCGTGTCGTGTCAGGCCAAAGAGGAGAGGGAGGGATTGAAGGGAACCAACAAACACAGTTCCAGGGCAATGGCTTGCAAGAGCTGCTGCTGGCCCAGTGGGTGAGTGGTTAAAGTGATGTGGCATTGCCTGAGCTGCTGATCGTCCGGGATCAGAGCCGGGCCAGGGGGCCAGACGGGCTGTGAGGGTTGCGCTGAGAGAGGGGGCTCAGGGCAAAGTCTAATTGTGATTGGCGCGTACCTTGCAGCTGCAAGGAACCCGTGCAGGCTGGATTTGCTCGGAGCCGTGGGCGCTGGACGTCGCCTTATTCGGTTCTATTGTTGTATCGTTCCTGGGATTCTGTCTGTTCGTTTCTCCTGCCATTTTCTTCTTCCCCCTTGGGCCCTTTCCCAAGCAGCCAAGTTCCCCCCTTCCTTCCTTCGGGCTGGCAGGTGCCCATCCCATGCCTCAGGCACATACACAGTATACCTTCGGGAGCCTTGTTAGTGTTACTCTCGGTCTCTCTTCTCTCTCGCGACTTGACGTTCCAACGACGGCCCCTCGGCACTGGCCTGGACTTCAGGAACAATCCACACATGCGCTGCAGTGTGGTGCTGACGTTGGGTATGGATACGGATACCTGCGCTGATGGGGGCAGCCGCGGCGTGGCAAGGTAACATCCCCAATTTCTCGACCATTGTTTCTCAATGTTTCCGTGGGCGCACAGTCTGTTCAATGTTACATCGCATACAGCCGCCATGGGCGCTGGACACTGCTTCATCCGACCAAAAAAAGAAGAAGAAGCAAAAGAAGCACTGGAATATTTCCTGTCTTTCCAGCGCGGCAACGAGCCGTCCACATTCCAGCAATACGTCGCAGGCCTCCGCGCAGTACAGAGTTCCTTACCGAATGTGCGTAAAGATTGGCGGGTGACAAGCAGATACCCGTCCTCGACTGCGGTACTCTCTGGGCCCCCCCGGAGCCACCGGCTGATCGTCATTCTTTCGCATCCAGGATTCCCAAGGAGGGACGTTCAACGGTGTTCGGACCCTGGCACTGTCTGGGCCTCTTTCCCCCCTGGACTCTTGACTAGCGGAAAAAGCTGGAGCCCTTTTCCCAGTTTCCGCGTGTTTCAAGGAACAAGCACCTGTCCGACGGTTCATCCAATCATGCAATGCCGGGGAAGGAAACAAGATGGCATTGTGACAAGCGACAAAGCAAGTTGGACAGAGAGATTTGAGTCCGTGGGGAGACGAAGTGAAAGGTTGGACGAGCGGGCAATAGCAAGGACATGGGACGGAGTCACACAGTCACTGGGGACAAGGAGGCGTGTGGTCAAGCCTTTCGCCCATCAGCCGTCTACCGCCATCAAGCGATTGTCGCGACAGAATAGCAGAGCACCTCAGCTGGCAGAGACCAGACAGAACTTACCAGACCAGCCGCGAGGGAATCGGTCTCGGTAAGGCCCTAGAGACATGTGATGGACTCAATACTTGGCTTTGTGATGCTTGCTGACTTGGCAAGACTTTACGACTTTCGGCTATATCCTGCCGCCCCCGTACTCCAAGATCCATGGCCTGCGCCTCGCTGCCCACCTCGTGTTGTCCGATCTTCTTTCCACTTCCCGACAACCCAATTGCCGTCCACACGACGATGGTTTCCTCTCAGTCCCAAAACGAGTCACGACGTTGGCAGTTGCTGGTTCAATGACTGGCCAGAACGATGAACGGCTGACGTTTCCTCGGCACCCAGTTCCGCTTGTCTGATGTCTGGGTTAGCGTGCAGTAGTCCGCCCTGCTTCCCATGACTAACGGCTTGACTTCCAGACAACGACAGTTTTGGGGTCCTGGGGTTGTTTAGGCGAACGGCCAGCAAACATCAAGATGGCGGATCGATCGAGCCTTGTTGGAGGGTCAAGAGGGGGCCACGCCCGTATCAAGGAGTCGAGTCCATCCCCTTCAAGGCTACGAAGCAAGCCCGGCCCGCCAGAAATGGCCTGAAGCACGTCTTTTTTTTGTGAGGATTGTCCCTTGGTGGAGCGTTGCCAATGATGCAGCGAGCAGGTCGGCCAAGAGGCTGCGCTAACGGATCCAACGGGCTATTCTCGCACCTCCATGGACCGTTCAAGTTGCTTCTTCTGTCTTGGTACGTTCTTTTTTCGGACATCCAGCCCCAGAGCCAGGTTCAGCGAACAACAGTTGCCGTGGAGTCAACCATCTCAGTGTCGATTCACGATTCGTACAGAAAATGCAGAGAAACTGCCTCGGCCAAGGTGGAGGATCTCTAAGACCACAGGGTTATTCTCTTCGCACTTCATCCTAATGCCAGGTTGGTCCATCTTTGGTGACTGCTATTCTCAGTGGAGGAACTGCAGTCACCCCCCACTTTTGCTGTTTATTCCCTCTCGGGGCTTTTGCGACTTCTGTAGGACGCTACCCGTCCCTACGGTGCGGCCCTGGTTGTGCCTTGACAGCGCTTCCATGCTCTCTCAGGTACCGATGGCACCGTCAGCAGCTCCTTCGTCACTTGGTTGGGCGAGAGGGTGGTGGCATTGGATGAATGGTGCCAGCGCTAGCAGGACCTGCAGGCCTCCTCCTCCTCCACCACGCACACCCCCTGAGCCCTGCTTTCCGCGCCCCCCTCTTCCCACCTCGCCCAGTCTCGCCAGTCCCGAAGTGGCTCACCTGTGCCTGGCCCTGCGGCCTGCCCTGGATGTTGCTGTCCAAGACTCCAACGTCGTGTCGTGTTTGTGTGCCTGTCGTCTGGTGCAGTTTTTGCCTGCCATACAAATCCCGGTCGACATCCGCTTCCCAGTTTCGTACACCTTTTTTGATCTTTCTTTTTTCTCTCTTTTCCTCATCCAACAACGCTCCCTCTTGTTTGACCACAAACCCATTCATTCATTTTTCTTGGACCCTTGAGCAGTGCTCGACCAACTATCAGTCCTACCAATTCATTCCTTCACAGAAGACTGTTTCGAGGTTCATCCAAACTACCAACCAACGGATTCATCCCGTCTTGTCGTCACACAGAGAGTTCAGTGAACTCCCTTTTCATCCCAACTCTACAGAACCAATCAGCCTGCCTCAAAACATCAAGTGCATACCGAGGACTGCTCCGAGCTCCCATCGACAACCTTGAACCCAACCAGGCTTTCCACGCTGTAGCAAGCACATTCCCTGATCAAGAGGCTTAGCCCATTGCATTCATTTCGCTTCCAACTCCACCTTGACGGAAAGGACGATCACCAACTTTACTATCAAGAGGCCGTATAAGTCTCCTGAATCACACAAACCAAAACCACTTCGACTACCAACCAACAGTCTTCAAGCCAAAATGAAGACCGCCGCCTTCCTCTGCGCCGTCCTGGCTACCACTGCCATTGCCCAGCCCCATCAGCATGGAAGCAAACGCCGCCATGTCCACGGCAAGCACCAGAAGCGTCACCTCGTCACCGAGTGGGTAACCGAGACCGCCTACGTGACCGAATATGTTGATTCAACCTCCACCGTTTGGGTTGAACCCGAGGTCTCGTCCACCAGCTCGGCGCTTCCTACCACCTCCGTTCCCGCCCAGTTCTTCGAGCCCGCCGACCAGCCGTCTTACACCACCTTGTCAACCTCCACCAAGCCTTCCGCGGCTGCTTCTCCCATCAAGGAATCCATTCAGCAGCAGGCGCCCGCTCCCGTCCCCACCACCACATCTACGCCCGTCCCTGCTCCCCAGACCCCGACTCCCGAGCCCGTCCCGACTTCAACCTCTCTCTACGTTGCTCCCCCGCCGGCTCCTACCACGTCCACTACTCCCGCGCCCGCGCCTCAACCTACTACCAGCCAGGCTGCTCCCGCGACCACTTCCGCTGCTTCTGGTGGTTCCGGCGGTGGATCTGGTGGCAACACGCGCACTGGTGACCTGACTTACTACGCTGTTGGTCTTGGCGCCTGCGGTGAGGACGACAGCGGCAAGGACAACACGGAGAACATCGTTGCCATCTCTGTCGCGGTCATGGGTGCCCAGTCCAACGGTAACCCGTACTGTGGAAAGAAGGTTCAGATCACCTGCGACGGCAAGACCACCACTGCCACCGTCCGCGACAAGTGCATGGGCTGCAAGGCGGATGACATTGACGTCAGCGAGAAGACCTTCCTCGACCTCTTCGGCGACCTTGGCGTTGGTCGCGGAACTGTCGAGTGGAAGTTCCTTGACTAAGAGGCGCACTGGTGCGCGCTCTCGCTCCAGCCTCCCTGGGGTTCCGCGGGTGCTTCATCGTCTTTTGCCATGCCGCTTCCCAATGGACGTGCCGCGCTGATCACCCATCATGGTATTTTCCCAGGACAGCCATTTTTCACCCGAATCTCAATAACAATTATGGTCACATTTCACCCCTCTTGAATGGGGACGGCGCCTGGTTCACAGCACGGGACTGGATTGGATAACAAAGAGACAACAAACAAAACTACGGTTTTGATGACGTGATGACGAATATCTCTATACCTGTGGATGCGTACTCCATTCGTGGGTCCATCATGGGCGGATGCATTTGGTGTTCTGTTTGTGGGTATGCTTGTCCACCGGTCAGTTTCTAAACTTAACTTTCAATGTATATATCTATTAGGGGTGGTTACCACCATATGGTATCCCCGAATGGGCTATTGGGACCAGTATGGTTTCCAGGACGAAAATATAAAGGAGAAAAAATCCCATCATTGGAACTCGATCTGCAATCCCACTCTCCGCGTTTCCTGGACAATCGGCCGAGTGACTGCCCTCTTTCACGTCTTAGCATTCCGAATGTCTGAGAACCCTCTTGAGATTCCCCTCGAAACGCAATGACATTTATGACATTTGACGAAATGTTCACCATGGTAGGCAAAGGAGGGGCAAAACTTAGCCTCCCACTGGTTCGCAAAATGACACAGTTGAACATTCCAACGACCAGCTCAGGTGACGTCCTAAACTCCAAAGAGGAGAGAAAAAGCAAACATCGCCCAGCCTGACAGAGACATTCTGCATCGCATCTGTTACCGTGGCTGTATTAGCCGTCGAGCCCCAGAGCCAAAGCCTCCTCTTCCCTGGAGTCTGCGGAGGCGATTGTCTCTGATATCCAGGCTTGTGGGTGTCTCGCTCCGCAACGATCCGGATCGTCCTGGGCCAGTCCAGCGAGCCGGGCGGCGGTTCAGCATTCCTCATGTGCCTGCGCCTCACTCGACTTGACTTGTTTGGTACAGTTCGGTTTCACGAGCCGAGGACGAGAGACGGAGAGATGGCCCAAGTTCAGTCCCATCTTCACAATGCGCCTTGCCCTCATTGTTATTCCATTTTGGCGAGGGAATCTATTCACGGAGGACCGATATCCTGATACCCCGTTGAGTTAGAAGGCGAGGTCTAAATGATCTACTCATTGCCACAGACTGGGGACTTTCGTAGCTGGAAGAGCTACCTAGGCTGTACAGGGGATGATATCGAAAACTCGCAGAGGAAATGCGTCGTTTACACACGCCCCTATTGCGAAGTTGCACAGAGATTAGCCATGACAGGCACCTCTATCTACAACAAAAACATGTCCAGGTCATCCATTTCCTTGATGGAAGGCAAAGCCCTCGCCTTCTCAGCCCTCTCCTCACTGACCAAGAACTCAGCCGGAAGCCTCTCCTCCTCATCCACGTCACTCTCCCTACTACTACCGCCGCCGCCGCCCATCATCATACCAGCCACAGCCTGCCCGCACAGCGCGGCTTGCGGCATCCCGTGCCCAGTATACCCGGCGCAGACCCACAGCCCTTCCCCGCCGCCGAGGACGGTGCCGGCTGGCACCTTTCCGACCCACGGCCTGCCGTCGCGTGAAAAAGCCATGATGCCCGTCCACTCGTGACTCGCTTCAAGCTCCTTCTTGCTGTTGGTGCTGGTGGCACTGTCCTCTTCGTCCTGCGCCTTGCTAGTACCGTCAGTATTATTAGCAGTACTAGCAAGGTCGAGGTTCTTCGCCCCAGCCCGCCTCAAATACGAAGCAACAACAGGATCAACCTCATCATCATCAGAAATGCCCACTCCGCGCAGCGTCCCATTCGCCCGTCCACCGCCCAGGATCATCTCCAGCCCAGGGCCGGGCCGCTGTATGAGGTAATCATCCTGGTTCGGCTCACCCTTCACAGCGTCAGAGCTCGCCATGAAGACGTAGCTCCTCCCGAGCTCGGCGCGCGGCCGGGGCGGGAAGAGGGCGGCGACCTGGCCTCGGACGGGGACGACGAGGTCTGCGAAGCGGGGGAGGAGGCGCGAGGTGTAGGCGTTTGAGGCGAGGAGGACTTGTGCGGTGGCGATCTGGCCGCGAGGGGTGTGGAGGATCCATGATGGTGCGCTGGACGGGGTCGAGGGGGCAAGATGTTGGAGGCGTGTGACGGGCGTAGAGGTCTGGATGTTGAAGGAGACACCTTGCTTGCCGTTGTCGCCATCAACCTTGTCGACTCCAAACCTCCGCAGCAGATCCTCAAAGATCCACGACACGAGCTTGTAGGGCCACACGCTCGCCGCCTCCTCCTGCACGACGGCGCCGGCGGCGTCCGGGATCCGGAGGTCTGCGAGCTCCTCCGCGTCCGTGACGAGGCGCGCGAGGGACGCGAAGCGGGGCGGCAGCGCGGCGATTTGCTTGCGGGCGGCGTCGACCAGGTCGGGCGTCAGAAGGGCGTGGACGCCGCGGAGGGAGACCCAGTCGCAGGGGATGGCGTTGCTGGCGATGAGGTCGCGGAGATGGGCGTAGTTTGCGAGCTCAAAGGTTGCGATGGCCGTGTTTGGGTTGTAGGCTACCGGTTGGCAGTGGCCGCCGTTCTGGACGGTCAAGTTAGTCCTAATGGTTTCTTCTCAAGGTAAATTGAAGGGCTTGGGATGTTGGTGGGGATAGATAGTACGGCGTGTATGAGTGAGTGAGACGATAATAAGAAAGTCACACCCGTCTAAACCCCTCCAAATAATGGAAGAACTTCCATAACGAGACATCCTCAAAATACACAAGAAATTGAAAGAACTCACCCGTCCAGTAGCCCCCCAACAAACCTCCCGCGCCTCAAGCAGAACAATCCTCTTTCCCTCCCCACCAGCGCCGGCACCAGCCCGCTCCAGCAACTCCTTGGCAGCGAACGCACCCGTGATGCCGCTGCCGACGACGACGACGTCCGCGGTCGGCGGCAGGTCTCGTGTGGTCCTGTGGCCGAGCAGCGTCTTGGATGGCTCGCGGTGCCAGTACGACGCCGTGCTCTTGGCCGAGGGCAGGTCGGCTTGGCCCGGCTGGAGAGTTTCGCCTGTCATTGCTTTGCTGTTGAGGGTTAGGTTGATGTGCTCGGGGTTTCTTATCGGGGTTGAGGGGTTGTTGATAAGCCTGCTAAAGCCGCGATGTGCCGTTTTTCGAATGCTGTGAATTGGATGTTAGAGACTTGTACTGCAGCCAGAATTCGATATAAAATGCAGTCGTCAATGTGGGTATTTATGTGATGTTGGTCGCGTGAACTGATCAGTCATGTGCTTGCGTGAGCAAAGTGGTGGTGGTGGTTGACCATAGGTCGCCGCACATGTGAGGTCGGCCGGCCTTGCCCCTCCGGCCCTTGCACTCCTCCCACCATACGAAAGCCGAAACGCGGCATCATCGACACACGTCCGCGGCCTGCGTCACTGCTATCGTAGATATCCACAGACTGCTGCTTACTGCAGATACGCGTGTTCCAAAATTGCCAAAAGACATAAGTATCATCAAGAAATTTGACATTACTGCCCGACTACCGTACCAATTTTTAAGGGTGGAAACGCCAATTTTCTCTATTGTGCCATCAATCCATTGGCCACCCGGAGCGCCGCAGCCGTGAATGCCGCAGTGCACACTGCCTGGGCCAGCGAAGGTCAGATCTACAAGACAAGAGTACGCTAAAGGACGTAAATAGCGTAGAAGAAACACCTCTCCAACTCTTTTCTCGTATCTGATCTGTGGGGTCGTAATTTGGTTGTCGTCGCTTAACCCTGCATCTTTCTTCTCTTTCCGATCTGGGCGGAGAAACCGGTCTTGATGGCGGTGACGGAACGTCTCGAACCGCAAGAGTTGCAGGTAATGAAGTACAGACGGTTCTCTCCCTTGGACAGCTCGGTGTCGGCGGACTTGCCTGGAGTCGGTTGTTAGTAATCGCATCGAGACGCAACGGTGGGGTATTTTGTTCGTAAGCTTACAGGTCTTGCAGGTGACGTACTCGACTGTGGGAAAGAAAAGAACTTTAGTTAGCATCTACGCGGCAGCAAACGTCAGGGGCACGGAGCAAAGACTCACTGATGTACTTGCGCAACACGTTCTCGAGCTGCTTCTGCTGGAAACGACCCTTGATAACAAGGCGTCTGCTGCCGTCGACGGAACCACTGGTACCCAATTCGGAGAAGAGGTAGGCCGTGACGTGCTCTTCGGTTCTCTTCATGCGCTTGCAAATTTCGGCAATGTTGGCAAAGATGGTCTTCTTGTTGCCTTCACGCATGCACTGCGGGGGCGGGATCTTGTAGCTCTTGGAGCCGCTCAGAGCGTGGTCGGGGTTCTTCTGAGACAGCTGGTGGAAGAAGCGGTTCAGGAGCAGGCTGTAGCTGAGGGCCTTGGTCTCGTCGTGCTGCCAGATACCGGTACCTTGGTCCATGTCGCCATCGTCGACAGCACCCTCGGCCTCGGCGCCGCCCTCCTCGTCCTTGAGCTCCAGGGCCTTGAGCTTAGCGGCGAACTCGTCCTCATCGCCGTCCTTGGGAACCTTCGTCTTCTTCTTCTTTTTCTTGATCGACAGGTCAAGACCGCCATCCTCGCCAGCGGCAGCCTCCTCAGCGTCGTCACCTTCCTTGGGAACCTTCTTCTTCTTCTTTTTCTTCATTGACAGGTCGAGGCCGCCATCTTCAGCAACATCGGGGACAGGGGCCGTCGCATCTTCGGCTCCAGCTTGAGAATTGGCATCAGCATGTAAGGCTTCAAGGGCTGCGGTAAGCGGCGGCGTACGGGGCGTGTGCGACTGGGCTGTCTCCTTGGGTTCCTCGGTGGCGTTGACCATTGTGACTGAACCGTCTGCGTCGACTACTACTTGCTCGTCTGTGAAGGCGACGGATTTGCGCTGTTTGCGTTCGGGGGCGGGAGTGGTATCCTGTGGGGGGAGGCACCTATGTTAGAAAACGATATTCAATGATGTTTGGATCTTTTTTCTCCGTTTGAGGAATTGAGAAAGAAAAAAAAAACTGGATCTGTAGAGGAGGGGACGGGGGGTCGAACAACGGTCAGGTGGTGATGATGTCCAGCAGCTCGGGCGGTTTGACAGAGGTTGAGTCACGGAAAATGTTCTGTTCAATTCGTGTCTGGTTCCGGTTCGCAGTGGGGTAATTAAGCATGGGATTGGTGGAGGGGCCAGTGGGTGGTGGTGCTCAGAAGTGCGCATGAGGGAGGGCTAGCAACGGTAACTTACTTCGACATCCATGATTGCGGCCTGTGTCTCACTGAACCGAGTCTCGGTTAGGTATCCTGGGGCGGCGCCTGGCGAATTCCTTTGGGTTGGTATTAATCTGGGCTGGTCCACGGTGCGACTGAACGAGTCTACTGTCGGCGCGATATGGTGCAGAAATCCCAAACGACCGGTCTGTGAAATGGCGGAAGGAGGCTGTCTGTGGTCCGTCACAAAATGGTTCGGTAATGCGAATTTGTTAGAGCAGAGTTGAGAATTGGCTGCAGCAGTTGGGAGATTTTCTTGAGGGGGTGTGACGTGAGGGTGGTGGAAGACGACTATCTTTGCCCACTGTAAGGTAGCGGCTGCGCGCCCGACAGGTGAGGGTGGGCTGTGACTCAGTGATAGTACGTCTCACGTGACCGTAAGGTGACTCCCTCCGTTTAGGCCCGTTGCCGTCTGTCGCCCCCTCGCCTGCAGCAGCGTCAGTAGGATCCACCAAAAGCGACTTGCAAGCCAATTACAATCGAGGTTCCCAACGTCTGCGAGTGGCCGTCCTGATTGCCGTTTCTGGTTGAGGAAACGGGGGGGGAGCAGAGCTCCAGGCGTTCCGATCTCCGCTGTTGGCCCATTCAAGCTGCACCGGCATTAACCATTGGAGAGACATCGCGGACCTTGAATCAACCCTCCCCCGCGAACGCCCATCAAGAGGGTCGTCTTATATCACAACAGCTACGAACATCAAGCGGACGCGTGCAAGGGACAGTCTCTAGCTATCCTCGAGAAGCAGCGTGCCGACCTAGCTCGATACCACCTGAACCCGAGAACCGAGCTGCCGACGACGCCTGCCTTCCCCGACATGATGGCATCCACCGACTCCTTCATCCTGCACGACGACGTCTCACCTTCCTCCGATAACGACGAGATTGACTCCCTGCCTTCAATATCGAGCAGCGTGCTAGACTCCGAGGACGAATCAGACGCCCAGGAGGAATGGGAGCGTAGTCTAGAGCAGGTTCAGCTCCTCTTGACCATGATCGTTGTACCCTTTGCCGGCAAATACTTTGGTCGCAAGTTTGCATACTGGAGTAAGCCTCGCCCCGGTCTCTCAAATCTCTTGTCGTCGTTCAAGATGCTGACACGGTATACCCACAGGCTGGTCACGATACATGGAATGGATGCACAACGTGGAGGTGCGGTGGACGAACAAGGGCGCCTTTAAGGCCGCCGGCGCGGCTGAGGCAGCGGCAACATTATAAGAAGCGCATTTGGGGCTTACTGGGCTCTTTGGAAAAACGAGACTTTGGGCATTCTACTACCAAGCCTGGAACATCCTGCATGGTGTTCGGCGTGTATACATGGTTGGCGTTGAGGGCAAGCCGTCATAGAAGATCAGGCGGCACATATTGAGGTGAGGCATCCAGCCCGGCCCAGAGAACTAGATCTAAATCAACATTTGAACGAATTAATCAAGCATATCTCGATGCCAAGGGGGTCAACTGGCTCACAATCGCAGTAGGCTCAGTCTCCATTTGGTCATGCTCGGAGGTGATCACATAACCGGTATCCTATGATCCTAGGTTGGCATCACATGTAGTAAGAATAGGGTAAAGTCGTGGAATGATATCAATTCGTTGTTGTACTACAAAGAGCTGTTGATGGCTCCATGGCCAATGCCCCGGCATTGTAGGCCCCGCCGTATCCATGACAGTATATCCATGTCATCCCGTACCCATATCCTGTCATTCATTATTACTACATGCCATCGTGAAAGGTAAAGTTAAACAATAACCTGCCGCCAACGCCGCTAGGACTCAGTGGCCTTGCCGCAAGTCTTGCGATGACCAAATGTCCTACCCAGCCAATCCGTCCAATTCCATACCCCGTTTGTTTTCTATTTCATATTGCAGTCTACGTCGCGTATAGTTGAGAAAATCGTAGACTTAGACGCCGACTTGAGCCATGCTAGGGCGGGAGCTGCGGACAGAGCCACCGCCGCGACGGAAGTTCATGAAGGTGAAGAAGCCTCCTGCGCAGAAGCTGGCAAACAGGAACCACATGAAGACGGTGCTGGCCTGGATTTCGCGGCATCGCTTCTCATCATCGCCGGAACCCCAGACGATGTAGTCGCTCGGCAGGTCGCTCCTGTTCAGAGAGCCACAGTTGACTGCGCGCAGCTTGGCGGAGAGGACAATGGCGTCGATGAAGGTGAAGAGAATGGCGGCGCCGTCAAGGGCCAGCAATACAATGGGGATGGCGATGGCCGAGACAAAGGCGGCGGCAAGGCCGTAGAGAGCCGCCAGCCAGCTGAGGACGGCGACGAACATGGAGAAGTTGATGGCGGCCATAGCGGAGCCGGCGCTATTGATGTTGAGAGCGATGACATTGCCAATCAGTGCTGTGACGAGGAGGACCCAGAGGATCTGTACACCTCGGACGAGGACCTGCAACATTGATTCCATCATGTTGGGCTGGTCGTATATCGTTTGTCGTGGGTATTCGGCAAAAGCGAGTTCAGATATCTAGAGAGCTTGAAAGGCCGAGAGAACGGTCTTCTATAAGCACTGGGATGTATGATTGATGTCGACGATTGGTTTATAGCTGTGTCTAAGACGAAGCTGGATGCTGTGGCGTGACTGGTGCTTGATGACGATGGTGAATCTTTGCTGATGGTATTGTCAGACAAACAACGAAGTGTTGATTTCGGACTGTGACTGTGTGTATGATGTGGAGGAGGACAAAAGTCGAACAGAGTCTTAAAAGGTGGCGTGGGACAAATAAGACAGTTCTGGATCTGGACTTTGGTTGTCGGGTGATTAAGGTCGTGGCGGAAAGGCCGTCGCAATGAGCAGCAGACAAGGGTATCTTTAATAAGTTGGGAGGGTGGGATGGGATCGGTCGAGGAGGGTTCTTCCCAGGTTGAAAAGTCAGTCGGACATGGATGGTAACCTAACCTAAGCCGCCTCTACTGCGTAAGGTGAAGAAGAACTCTTTCGGCACCGGGCATGGACATTGTGCGCTGCTGCTGCGGAAGCTGCGCGCGGACAAGGACAAGAGGGCAATAGAGCTTCGATGATGGATCGGCACTTGCGGGAACTATGACCTCACCAGCCAATGTCTTCCCTTCACGCGCGCAAAATACAACACAACACCATCAACACTAACACGGTACGTACCTCCCTCCACCTACCTACCTCAGTTCCGTGCTCTATCTACTGGCATCTGAGCCTCGATGTACTTACACATACGCATACGCAGGACACTGTACATGACACCGTTCTGTAGGGCGCGAGCTCCCACGCATTGCTTTGCAGCTTCAAGCTTGACATTGCTCGAGCGCCTGACATGCCTAACGCGGTCTAATGGCATCATCCAAGGGTCCAAGACGGCTCCGACGATGCCGCTAGACGGCTTGGACGAGACCGCGTTCAGCCCAACGAATCCCTAGGACATCCGCGACCGTCATACATTTCGCGCCCACCGACCTGCCCCGTACTGACGGATAGGGCATGTCCAACTGGCAATAGCTAGCTTCTGAGACCAAGGCAGTAGAACTTTTGCAGGGGGAGGGAGCAACTCGGAGCTGAGAGGGAAAGATTTCTTACAGATGGTGGCGCGTTTCTGGTGGCGCCGCTCCCGACGTGCCCGAAAGCCGTGGACCACTGGGCCCTCTTCTCGGACAACTTGTCGACTTGTTGGGAAACTCTTGGGAGGCCGCAAGCAAAAAGGGAGCAAGGCCGCAGCGCTCGTGGTTGGGCGGCTCTCATTGGCAATTGTGGCTCTGTTTTCGCCCTTCCTGCAGGGTTCATGAGTTTCCCATTCAGCTTTCCTGTGGTAGGGATGGAAGGTGAAAAGACTTTTCTCGGTGCTCTGAGCCCTGCCAATTCTGTCAGACTCTTTCCCTACCTTGCAATCCCACATGCTGCGCTCCGTAGGTTATTACCGGCGGGGTGATGCCGGTTGGCAGGTGAAGAGCCTCGCAGTCCCCCTCCCACTTCTCTGGGATCCTTGGAAATCCTTCTGCCCCTCCTTCGATTCGCCCATGTCTGCCGTGCGTTTGCCGGCCCCTGCAGCAAATCCCCCTCTGTTTCCTGGCGATTCGCTGTTGCTTTGGGGGGGGAAATCGGCCGCAGCCCAGCAACCCCTAGAGAAAGCATCCATTTCAGCCATCCGCAGCACATCTAAGCCCTGGTCAATTGTTTCTCTACCCTTGTTGCGATCGCTGTCGTCCTATCGAACCTTGTGCGACTACTTCGGTGAAACAAGGTGAAGCCAGCATATCCCGCGCTTGGGAAAGTCTGTCGCGTCGAACTTGAGCTGCCATCCATCCAGACCCTCACGGATATTCAGCCAGGAGTAATGGTAATCAAGGCAAATAACAGGAAACGCATGGGCAGCAAAACCCGAGGTGGCTTCCCACGGACAAACAGCCACACCCGCGTACTATTCAACAAGCTTCCGGCGTGGTGAACTCACGGTCATGGTTTACACCCTCACTACCAGCCCATAGTCCCCTAGGTCCTGATTGACCTTTTTTTGTCCTTTGAGAGCGGACAGTTTCTAGTTATAATTAGCATCATATGAACATAGAGATTCAGAAGATCTCTTTGAATCTTCGTACGTCTTCATTCAGTGTCTTGCGCTCTAACTTTCGTTTAGTTCCATTGGGGATATAAAACGGAGCGATGAGAGACCTCAGCCGCTCATTAGTGGCATTGGAAGTATCACGGTCTTTGTTTCCCCCTCACAACATTCGACTCTCGGCATCTGAGACGTATTTTGTCCCTACAAGTGAAGCAGCCATGGTGACTGGCGGCACCGACAAAAGAAACCACATTCATCCAACCTAAAGGGCTTGGAGTCACCCTGCAGTTCTTTCGTCCAGGTAGCTCGCTCTGCCAAGTGGTCATTCATTCTTCATAAGCCCTCTAATGTCCCATTTCCAGACCTAATCAGATACCCACCTGTTGTCGCCTTCAGGAAGCCCTCTGCCCAGGGCCGAAGCCGATCCTGCTCGCCTTACACTACAGCCCTGGATCGTGACGTTGAGGACACTTGCTCACACTCAACTCAACACCCAGATCCAAATGTCACGAGTCGCACTTCTAGATCCCATGGCGTCATGGCTACCGAGCCGCTGTCAAGCTACTGCGGCAATAGAAGAATTACAATTTCTCTAGCGCAGATACTATGACCTGCTGTTACTAACAAGTCTAGTGCGGTAAAACAGAGCAGACACACAGACACACGCCGTGGGCTCAAAATTAGCCCGAAGCCAAGCCGGGCACTTTCGTCCTAAAAAAGTACGCCAGGAAAGGAATCATGACGTTACTTGAGTGCAATGGGTTTACGCACGGTCATGAGATATCGACCTTTGGTCATTCATTGACAAAAAATTACCCGCATCTAATCATGTTCTTGGCGAGGAAAAAAAAAAATCCACCGCTGATGCGTATCATCATGATGTCTCCCCTGTTATTGACATGAACCCAACCGCCATAGCCATAGCTAATCCGTTTTTGCGCTCCCCGCGTACTCCGCGTGTCTCTCAACCTAGAAGTCGGAGAAGGGAAGGAAAACTGACCACCCACCCGGCCGCCCTAGATCTTGGAGAAATCTAGAAAAACTACATCATGTTCTTTACCGGCTAAAGTTCAAAAGCCCCTCAATATACTTCCGTGTATCAATGCCGATCCCCGACGCAAGACGGCCCGCGCCGTCACCGCCCCACCCAGATCCCGTCAGTCCTACGCCGCCCTCGGCGAACGACGAGCTGACGCCGCGGTAGCCGGCGTGATCGCTCGCCCTACGGATCAGGATAATCTCCTTGCTGACCGTTGGGCTCGGCGGCGTAGGCGATGTCGGTCGCGCTGTGCTGGATCCATCGCCGCTCGCTGGGGAAATGTCCCTATCCGACGTCGACTGAGCGTCGTCCTCGTAATTCTGCGCTGGCTGATATGCATCGCCGCTCGGGGCGTGTCGATTCAGGATGCGCTGCCAGACGACCCACCAGCCACGGTTGGTCTTGCAAGTTCTCTCGAGCTGATTCATTTCCGGCCTGGTAAGGTTGAAAATATTGAGTAGTTGCATATGTGTGTTCATCGCTTCCACCCTTGACCAGGGTAATGCTGCGTTTGGTAGGAATGCTTGTGTGTGGTCCGGAATATTGGGTATGGTCGAGTGTACCGTCATAGCCTCAGCGTCCCATACGAGATCGTAGATATTGGACGATGAGGAACTGGACTCCGGCCTCTCTGGCCGATATTGGATCGAAGATAAAAGTGGCTTTCGTAAAGGCGCCAACTGGAAATGAAGAGACTTGTAGAACGAGTTCCAAGCTAGGGAATCGGTCCTCAACTCAAAGAGGAAAGTAAATATGAAGGGTTTGTTTACGTAAACGACGACGCGCATCTTGCTTGCCTTGTTTGAGTCCTGGTTTCCAAATGTTGGGTTCGAGCTCACGGCGTTGGCTCCGAGAGGCGTCACGTCGTTAGTGAGGTTGCCGAGGTTCCTCACGACATCTGACTCTAGGCGATCCGTACCAACTTTGTCAAGCTCAACGTGGACGGTGCGTAGCATGGTACGAGAGTTCGATTCGGGCTCAGCTGCCTCATCTGAGGCTCCGTTTTCCTCATCGCCACTACCCTCCTCGACATCACCCATCAGGCCAATGAGGTAGTGTCCCTCGTCATCTTCCATCTGCTTAGGTTTCAAATGCGGGTTCGCCGCAGCCTTAGAGGACTCCCCAGTTTGAAACGCAGCAACGGCAGATAGTTGGCTCTTAACCGCAGACGAAGAAGTATCCGATTTGCCGATTGACCAATACGTGCCGTACCCCAACTTCATAACCGTCATAAGTTTGTCCATGTGGCCATCGCTCTCTCCTTGACTTGGCGTAGCGGTAGAGGCGGTAGCGGCTTCAGTGTCGGCTTCGGTGTCGTCGCCCTTGGGAACCGGGGCCGAATTGTCCTTGGTGTCGCTTGGCCTTTTGGCTTCTTTCACCGTACCAATATCAAGTCCACGCCGCTCGGCCAGTGTTCTCGTCGAGGTCGAGCTCCCAGAAGCAGAGCCGGAATTTGATCGATGGTTGTTGGGGCGAACCGGCGGCCGCACTGCTGGCTTCGTCGCAGGCGCCAGGGCTGGTGCTGGTTTGGCTTCCGGGGCCGGCTCAGATCTCTTCACCCGTCGGCCAGCGCGAAGAGATGTCGGACTATCGATGACGCCGTAGGCATTTTCTCCCCAAGTATACAAGTCTTCCATCCATAGGGTGATATCTCTCACGGACTTGCGAGATAACGCTCCTGTTCCCAGAAAAATGGCACCGTCTTCAGGGCCTGGGTCTTGTCCGGTACCCAGCCAAGACCTCTTCGGCTCCTTGCCGTTTTTCGACTCCCCATCGGCATCCAATGATCCAAATTTTGAGACCACCAGGTCTTTAAGACCCTCAACTCTAGTGACGAGCCCTTCCAACACCTCTCGTTCTCCACTGCCCCGCTCCTCTTCGCCGACGCCAATGCCCAGTTCGCCAGAGGCAGCGATGTTGATGCCTCCAAATATTGTGCGAATTGGGTTTCCTTGCAGCATTACGTTCCAAGTTGACAAAAACAGGTCCCAATACCGACCAAGCAGGCTGACGAACTTCATTCTTCGGGAGCGAACAAACAAGGCACTGAGTGAGGTGCCATGATGAAGCAGAAAGATGGTATGAGCACGGAGCAGATCCTGCAACAGAAGAGATGACGGCTTAATCTCCTTAGATGAATACTCGACAACCTCTTCTGGGGTTTCTTGTGCTTTCCCTGTCTGGAGCTTGGGCGGCAAAGGAATACGAGTAAGATCAATGGACTGCAGGCAATCAGCAACGGAAAAACAAGTCAGTGTAAGGTGAAACGTACCGCAAGAATCCACCAGTCTTGCTCCAGCTCATGGAGGACCACACGTGTCTTGTCCGTGTCGATGGAGTCGACAGGCTGGCCGCCAGAGAAGCTCTTGCTGAACTCAACCATGCCCTGGGCAAGACCAATCTGACGAAGACGCTCATTGCGCTCCTCTTGAGACAGATTCTCAGTTGGCTTTGCACGTGAGCGGTGACGCCGTTTATGTCGTTGGGTGCTGACTGAAGAGTAGTAAACAATTTGATCGTCAAGAGTCTCATCAGAATGACCCAACGACGGGTTGAAGATGGCAAGGAAGCCCAGCTGAGCCGGAACGATGCCACCCGGTGACAATGCCATGGCTTTTTTTTGAATGCTTGTGAGGGCGCGGTCCTGCCAACGGCGGTTCACTGAGAGCGGGGACGGAATGCCGTGATGTCCAGACCCATGAACTCCAAAATAAACGGGTGCAACGTCGTTGCGGCGGATTCAGACGGTAGGTAGCAGCAACCGCTGACGATGGTAACCAAATAGTAGGTCCCACGGCTCGTGAAGTGGCGTCTGAAAGGCTACCAAGCGTTTCTTCTTACGCTCTAACAAGCGTCAAGAGCAGCAGGAGCGGCAGCAACAATCCAAGCTGAGATGCAGAAACAAGGTAGATTGTTCGAAAACGGAGCTGGCGTCACTGACAATGTCAGTCAGCAAGGATGAGCTTGAGGCCGAGGCTGCCCACACAACCTGGATGGCAACGCAAGCGCGCACGCAGTGCTGGCGAGTGGTGTTCGCGATGCTGGCGAAAGCCAAGTCATTCAGTTGTGCCTCCTGCGTCGTCTTGGAGGAAGATCGGCGGTCGAAACTGCCCGGGAAGGCCGAATGGGGCTTTGGGCGGAAGATATGGAAATTCTGTGAGATCTCGATCGAGATTCCCCACGATGCAGGGCGTGCTCCAGTGGCGCCCAGGACAAGGCGATGCGAGGCGATTGAAGGTGAGTGGTCTGCCGCTGACTTGATTGGGCCGAACCGGAGCACTGTGTTTTGGAAGGTATGCTGCGGAGGAGTGGAGGCCAGACCCGGCCGAACTTGGCGTTGGTGCTTTCTCGCTTAATTTGGCCCGCGGTCTGGGCCGCCATGGACTTTCATCTCTTGTTCTAAGGTATTGTGTTCTTCCTCGATAACAATACACAAAGCCAAACTGTGTCTGGGTGAACACAGACGGACAGTGTTGGACACCTGAAGTACGCTCGCCGAGACCACAGCATACCAAGGTACCTCAAGGTCGGGTCCGACGGATGCTAGGACTTGAGACGGAAGAAAGATGGGATAGAGAGACAAGACCATCGGGTACCTATCCCACTATGGGAATGTCGACCAGGGTAGCGGTATGTGCTGTTAGTGCACGCTCGAATTCGACGGGCAATCTGGGAGGGAATCGCAGAAATGTGTCCAAGTGCGGGAACGAATGCCGCAAGAACACCCAGTACGTGGGCCGACTTCCACATTTTGGTCAACAACTCCGTTTCAGCAGCGGTCAAGCGCAAATCAGGTCTGGGCTGCTATGACTGGCTGGAGTCTGGAGAGAGAGAGAGAGAATGTCACCTATCTTCACGTTACGCAACCTACCTTACTCTCTCACAGCTGGACGAATCTCCTGCCTCCCGTGGTCTAGCGGTGCGCTAAGCCAGGAAAGTTCGCGTGGAGTGACGACTCACGTGCAGCTCATTCCTCCCGCGTGCTTGGGAAACATGCTTCTCCACGTGGAAGTGGAACTTCAACCTAATGCCTTGGTGATAATCAAGACCTTCAGCTTGTACCTCTCGAACTCTGTATCTAGAGCCGGAACCCAATAGCATATCTTTCGAGTAGCCTGGTCTGTGCTAGGAAGCAGCGTCTGCGGCATAGCCATGTCGAGTGCTGCATTGCTACTTGCATAGAGCCCACGCAGCCAATGAAGCCCATGAAGAGATCATCAAAAACTTCTCAAGCAGGATTTCAACCAATTATGGCCTCTGCTCAGGCACCGGAAGCAGGCTGCCATTTCTATCAACGGTGACCGACCCCTCAACTTGAGAGAAGTATCACTTTGTTATATTGTCTTGAGTAGCTTAAGAGCCAATACGTCCATCTCCTCAGAAGCCAACGCCCCAGCCGTTGAACACTGGAGAGATAACTCTAGGCTGGTGAATACGTGCCCATCAAAGGACGAAATAAACACAGAGTAGACGTTATTTCATGTTTGGATTCATCTCATCATTCAAGGGATTTGTCTTTTCTTGGAAATGGTGGTATTATTCTCAAGCCCAATTGCCAACGGCCCTTATTAGGTAGCCACGACTCCGGCCCCAGGTCTATTGAAAAACGCCAGACCGCTATGCTGTAACTCAAAAAGTCGTCTCCCGTAACTTGCCAATTTTGCCAATCTCATACTCTATCCAGCGACCGACTCGCGTCCGTCCAGGCACAAGAATACTGCCCGGGTTCATGACATGACACCCCTCATACGTCACACAAAACGGCGGCGCCGTCGTGTCTACAAGGACCATTGATGTTGGCAAAGGGTAAAGGTGCAGAGCCGTCGCAAAATCCCAGTGTACTGGGCGGGTCGCTTGATGGAAAGGCGACAGATACCCTTGGTCCAAGATCGTCTTGACGAGCTTCCGCGCCGTATGGATGTCTTGAGGCAGGCTCGAATTGACCTCTTTGACAGCGGGCTTCTCGCTAGGGATGTCAACGTCCATAGCCTCGTCTGCTTCAACCTGGTCGTTCCCTGCCATAATGACGTCGTCTGCTCCGCTTCCGTCTTCGGGACGCTGGTTCTCCTCATCCTCGCCGGCATTCTGTTTCGATGACTTGAGGCGGACTGCCGTGCGGCGGAGACGGGCTGAGATATCATCTCGGAAGACGACAACTTCGTGATTTGGGCCAAAGAGTGTCAAACGACTTGGGTTCGATGTCCAGATGGCCTCGCCATCGCTCTTGGCCCCGAGCTCTGCATTTGCCGCCGCGAAAACGCGTCTAATGCGTGATGTGAAGACATCCGGTGCTCCTTTTCGGGGCAGCGGGGTCGCAGCGCCGGCAGTGAACGCTGACACCCATCCGTCATTGTCTCCAGGGACGAACACAAAGGTAGACGTTTGGAGGAGCGTGGGGTAGTCGGACAGGGCCGAGGCCAAGGCGTCAAAATATTCTTTGTACTCAATGCTGCCGCCGCTACCACCCCTGGCAAGAACAGCATGCTGGGTGAAGTTACCCGTGACAACGAAAGTCATTGGACTTGAGCCTTCGGGCTCAGCTGCATATATCGCGAGTATCCTCCGCAAGGCTTGCAACGTTCGTGGTTGGTCAAGGTTCAACTCGCCGATGATCACCATCCGCCCTCTACTAGGCACCTCCTCGGCAGAGTGGCGGGGCAGTAGCCGCTGTTCAAGCTTCCGCATCTTGGATCCGACGGCTCGTTCGCTTCCCACGCCGAGGAAATCGATCCAGCCGAATCCACCTCCTATGGTGTGATCCTGGCCGCCATCGGGACCGCTGACTCCTAATGTGGCTCTCCTCTTCTCGCATGGGGGTTGACCGATGAAGAAGCCTTGGAACCTGCCGCCTAGTGTTCCTCCGACACCGCTGCTACCACTCAGTCCCTTGCCAACGGACTCCTCTTCTTCCTCGTAAACACCATCCACGAGCACAATCATTCCAGGAGCGAACCAAGCCGAATCTTCGGGGATTGCAACAGCTTGTGACACATCTAGGGCAATAGTGGCCGTCAGGTCGCTAATCGCGAGGCCTCCCGCAGGCAACACATTCAATATGCCTAAAAGCATGTGGTGGCTACCGTGGCGACCTAAAAGATTGGCGATTGGGGTAATCTTGTGGTTCAGTTGGTTTGATGATGACCGTTTGCCCGAAGGAGCCCTCGTGCTTGCAACTGCTGACGTCTGGAAGGACTCGTTCCTGAGCAATCTTTGGTGTATGACATTGTACCTGTTTCTGAATAGCGCAGTTTTGTGTGATGCTGGCGGTAGGAGCGAAGGTTTTGAAGTTTCCCTGCTCATCGTTAGAGAGTAAGTTCCTACCTCGGGCAAAACCTATGTCTCACCTCTCGAAATGCTTCTTGGCAACGTTGTAGGAGTATCTTGGCTGATCGTAGGCATCAACGACGTTGAACCACTTCCGCGGATCCTTGATACTCTCGTCGTCCTCTTCTTCCTCGACGCCCAGACTAGACATGCCAAAGCTCTGTTGACTGTCCTCTCGAGCCAAGGATGCCTGTGCCGGTCGCAGACCCAATCTCGCGTTTGACATATCCACATCTTGCCCTGGTTCGATCAAAAGACTATTCTGTCGACTCAAGCCTCTGGCGCCGGCCACAATCTTGCCCCCGCTCATGTTCCCCTCCAAGTTTTTCAGGATATCTTTGAGCTCTGGGCTTGCGCCATCGACGATAACTCCGCCATTACGGCTTTTCCATGACTTTGCCACCTCCTCCAGGACCTTCTCTGCGAGTCCCTCCTCTCGCCATGCGGAACCACAATGCCGGCCGATAAATGTAGCCAATTCTTGTAAGGCGGAGGAGGCAAGGGTTAGACTGTGTTTCTTCGTGAAGGTTCGGAATGCCAGTGGTCGTAGTGTGGCTGGGGGTAGAATGATTGGGAGGATCGCGTGTTTCGTCGGCGCTGAGACTTTGAAAGGCTTCAAAGGATGGACCGGGGTGCCGAATGCGGGTGAGGACGAGGGTATCGCAGAAGATGGAGGGGCAGGCGTCCTTGCGGCAAAGATGTTGGCCATGGGCATTTTGCGCTTAGGAGATATTGACGGTGGCGGATCCATGACTGCGACGTTTCTTCGTGATGTGAATGGTATGGAGTTGGCAGTGTATCAAAATTCGAGGATCTTCTTCGGAGTGGCGGTTGTCGCACTTGTCACAGAGCGGTTGTCGAGAACAGTCGCGAGGGACGCCAAATGCTTAAGTGAGACGCGTCCATCGCAGCGAAGCAACGCGTCTTGATTAATTGATCGCGCTCTCTTAACCCCGCGCCACAGTCAGCGGAAGTGGGGTTGAGTGCTGTGGCTGTGGCTGGAGGAGGTGGTGGCTCAAGCTTCCTGGACTCCGGGCAGCTGGCATGCTGTCATCGAAGGAAATCGGAGCTATCTGCGCCAAAATTCGACAAGACAAAGCCTCTCAATTGCAAAGCGCCGCTCCTGTCTTTCGCACCCCTCCGACCATTATACTCACAATGCTGGCACCAGTAGCTCGACTTATGCCGAGGCATGTTTCTAGAATCAATTTCTTCCGTCCCATGTCCAGCTTGCCGTCCAACCCGCGCATCGTGAGTTCCTGTCCCCCTGCCATGCGTGCCGATGAAGCGGCTGACCGTTTCTACCGCGCAGAAAGTCTTCCCTGCCGATGCATCACGAGCCTCTTTCCTCCTATCCTACCTCGAAGATGAGCCACCGAACCAGAGAATAGCCATTGGATTCTCTACGACCGATCCTCCGACGCCACGATCATTTATCGAGAACCAGACCTTTACCAAGATCCTCTATGAAGTTCTTGCGGAGCATGCGCATAAAGACAAGGACCTCTTAGCACAGGCACAAGCCTTTGCAGGGCCTGGCGGGGCCAATCTTGGCTCTGGAGGAGCACTCTTTGCCCAGAAGAACAAGAGGCGTTCGTCGAGCAAGGTCGGTGGCGGCGGCGGCGCCGGAGGCGGTGGTGCTGGTGGTGCCAGTGCCCAAGGCGGCGCTGGAGGAGGTGGGCATGGTGGTTACGTCCACCTTAGTGATTCAAGAAACCCTCCAGATTTTGGTCGCATTGCCTGGCCTGAAGATATCCTGGGCAGCGTTGAAGTCGATCAAAGCGGCAACATAATTGGTCAGCTTGAGCCAAGTGGAACATATCGAATTATCACCAACGAGGGAATGTAAGTTGCGAAGCCTCCATGAAACAAACTTGACAGACAGACTAACACGAATAGTCTCGGATTGAGTCCTTATCTTTCAGAAAAGCTCGTTGAGAGACTTCGCGAGGAAGACGACAAAGACCATTCGTAATCGCCCCGCAAGTATCGGAGGACTAGAGCATCAGGGGGGGGGGGGGGAGCAGCTAGCCGACTCCCGGATGCTCGCTGTAAAATTGTACACTCATCATGTAATAGTAGCTCACCACTTTACGACTGCATATATTGACGAGATTCTGTCAGTCGGTTTCCAGGATGAACATCTGGTCACTTTCTTCGGCGAATAGGTACCTTTTTGGCATCGAATTGTAACTTGGGAGGAAGAAGGCTAGACGAAGCCTACGCGAGTTTGAAGAACCCACCCGCCTCCACTTGGTCTTTTATTTGAGCAATTGGCAAGGAACAAGCCATCGGAGGGGATCGTGAGCTTGCTCCTTTAACCTCGGGAATGGAGTTGCTGCAGAATCTTTCGTCCTGCAGACACGGTTTCCCCCCACAACCCCGTCCTCGACTCCCGCCATAATATGCACATGGACGAAAGGAGCCCAAGAACAGAAGCGGGCACATGCACCAGATTCCAGACCGCCGGTTGATATTCTCGGTTGAGTCAGTTCGGGTATGTTTTACCGACCAACCCTGGAATTGTCATCGATAGTCTTGAAAGATTTTGATCCTCGAATCTTTGCATCTCGATATTTTTCCAAATGGTACAGATACTTGGGTCACAGGGCCGTTGTTCCTTTGGATGGTAGGATTGATCAGGGTTGTTTAGCCGATGCAAGCAGCTGCAGCGCCTTGATCCCTGGGTGGCCTGAGTTGCCGGGCCGTCCATAGGATGACATGCAGACGGGTAGCGATGCCAGCGATCAGTTGGGCTCTGCTTCCTTGAGTCAAGGGCGAGGGATTTCCTGTGGCCAAGAGCCTATTCTGTATCCAAACCCAAGGTAGTAATTACTGCGTAAGAGGTTCTGTGACCATTGGCGCAGTATGTGAAAATGATACGCTGCCACAGTATGCCTCGAGCCGCGATCCATCTACTGGTCAGGTCTAGTCACTACTTATCAACATCGAATATCTCGTGTCATTGTGTGTAGTTGGTGCGCTTGAATATGACTTGGGACGAATGTTTATTCATGCTCATACAACCTGACGGAGAGTAACTATGGATTACCTGATCCTGATATTTGTTTGATTCAATGCCGACGAATGAGCAAGTATTGATATCGTCAGGCGATGTTCGATCCTGCAACGGCAGTTGTGTCTGTCTGTTCTCAGAACGGGCGTAAGTATCATGTAGTCATGAGGCTACAGCCACCAACCTTACTGATGATGCGACCTGATATAGTTGGACCGGCTCACTCAGCGGTATGATTATGAGCTGTCACTTATCAGCGGCCGCCTCACACCGCAGCCTGTGGTAATGAGGGATATGATACCCAAGGTGAGTTGGATTATCTCTCTAGCCATTATCTGCTCACCCACCTTAAACTCTACTTGGATTTCCATGTTGGGCCCAATGGAACGGGGGTTGAGATGGTGTCAGGAGGACCATATCAATGAATACCTTTCTGAGCTACCTTGGAAGCGTAGTTACTAAGAATGAGAGCAGCGCTGCTAAGTATACTATTCTTTGGGCTCAGCCTGCAGCAGAAAATATCTGCCTAAGGTAGGTAATTCGCGATGATTCTTTCATCAGGTTGTGGTGAGTAATAATAGCCTGTAGGTTGGGGCACAAATAGGTATGACCTGGAGGGACGGGACTCGTTGAAGCACAGACCACAGCGCACTTTCTCCCCACCATTGCGGGCAAGAGTCGGCGGGTGGCACCTGGCATGGGCAGGCAGATGGAAAAAGAAGGGGGGTCAGGAAGCCTGAAGGTGCAGAACAGCCTGGCACAAACGAGACGAGCCAGGGAGCTTCTTGGCAGCCACTCCACCTCACCAGTCCATGTTCCCCTCCACAATCCACATCCAACTTCGTCATGCCCACTTGAGTGTGGTCCAAAGGCTTGCTCCGGCCACAACCCCATTCAAACAAAACGACCTGAGCCCCCCCCATCCCCCCTCCCGACCGACAATATGGCTTCCGGTTTCGATGAGGAGGAGCTCCATATCAGTCTCTCGCCCTCCCAGATCCGACGACGCTCCCAGCAGCACGGTGCCGCCTCCGATGCTGCCGCCTCCGCCGCCGGCCATCACGAACTCCAACCGCCTGTGCCCGGTGCCGTAAACATCGCCAATATGGGACCGCCCGTCGATACCACCGCCCCGCTGCGGGAGAAGATCAAGACGGAGCAGCGCATTGGTGCCTACAAGATCATCAAGACCTTGGGCGAGGGCTCCTTTGGAAAAGTGAAGCTGGCTATCCACAATGGTACTGGCCAACAGGTCGCTCTCAAGATAATCGCGAGGAAGAAGCTCATCAGCAGAGATATGGCTGGTCGCGTGGAGCGTGAGATCGAATACCTACAGCTTCTGCGGCATCCTCACATTATCAAATTGTATGTGGCATATCTGAGACGACGCTTGCTCGCTTCAGGCCTATCGCTAACCCAAATCAACACAGATACACTGTTATCAAGACCCCCAACGAGATCATCATGGTCCTTGAATATGCAGGCGGAGAGCTTTTCGACTATATAGTGCAAAACGGCCGGATGAAGGAGCCTGAGGCGCGTAGATTCTTTCAACAGATGCTATGCGCCGTCGAGTACTGCCACCGACACAAGATCGTGCATCGAGACCTGAAGCCCGAGAACCTTCTTCTGGACGATAACCTCAATGTCAAGATTGCCGACTTTGGTTTGAGCAACATCATGACGGACGGAAACTTCCTGAAGACGAGTTGCGGTAGTCCAAATTATGCCGCACCCGAAGTCATTGGTGGCAAGCTTTACGCTGGCCCGGAGGTGGATGTGTGGAGTTGTGGCGTGATTCTTTACGTCCTGCTAGTGGGCAGACTCCCCTTTGACGATGAGCATATACCCAGTCTCTTCGCAAAGATTGCACGCGGCACATACAGCATACCGCAGTGGATGAACTCTGGTGCTGCAGGCCTCATAAAGAAGATGCTGGTCGTCAATCCTGTGCAACGTGCCACTATTGATGATATCCGTCAGGACCCCTGGTTCATGACTGACCTGCCGCCTTATCTGGCGCCGCCGGTCGAGGAGTTCTTCAACACAGGCGTGGACCCTAACAAGGCCATCCAGAAGAGTGACATTGCACCCAATGCCCCCCCTAGAGTCCAGGAGAAGTTGCACAACGAGGTCACAGAGAAGATCAGTAAGACCATGGGTTACGGAAAGAAGGACGTAGAGGAGGCTTTGCAGGCTGCGGAACCGTCGGCCATTAAAGACGCGTACATGATTGTTCGCGAGAACAAACTCATGCAAGTGAATGGTACGTATATACCAGTGAGGGCCTGTCCATACGATGAATTCCCGTCTAATATTTCAACAGAGGCTATGTCATCACTTTCAGTAGATCAAGATGGCTCTAGTAGTCCACTCCCAAGTGCATCATCCGCGAGGTCGGGTGGCTCAACCGTCGGTGGACAACGACCCTACATCAGCAAGATCGGAATTCTGCCGAGCAGTTTGCCAACCTATCATAAAGAGTACATGGAGCGTGAGAAGGCTGGCCCCGAGGACCATCCGGCGCCAACAATCGTCGTCAACGAGCCAGGCTCATCTGCCCGCACGGATGCAGAAAGGGAAGAGACAGCAAGGCATCTCAAGCCTCACTCCAGGAACAGTCAGGTCAGACTCGACGATTCTAGCAAACGGCCACAAGGCATGACGCCCGTCGTTCAGGCGAAGAAGACAAAGCCTGTGAGGTGGCAATTCGGTATTCGCTCGCGCAATGCGCCTTGGGAAGCCCTCTTGTGTATTCACAAGGCCTTGAACAAGCTCGGAGCGACCTATGTGCCAGACGAAGACTATGAGAAAGTCCACGGCAACGAGGCCGATCAACCCAGCAACGACGGTAGCTTCGTGGAGGAATACGCTCCGCAGGGGGCCAATGATTCAACCAGCAGTATTGATCCTCTCAAGCGATATAAGCTACCAGCCGACCCCTGGCATATCAAGGTCCGATGGGAGACGTCGAGTAGGTTTTTGCATACTTCCTGGTCTGGAGCTTCCCACTAACCAGACTACAGCACTGCATCAGGCCTCAGGAACCCCCACAGAGGGTAGCAAGACCCCAGATAGCTTTCATGTTGTTGGCGATGATGAGGGCAAGCGTGATTTTGTAGCCTTGCACGTGGACATCCAAATATACGAGATGGAACACGGCGTCTATCTCGTGGACTTCAAATGCTCTGGCTACGAGACGGCCGACAAGAGACTGCTCGAAGAAAAGGATGTCACAAGTCCTTTCCCTTTCCTAGATATGGCTGCTAGGTTGATAATGCAACTAGCCGAAGCAGACTGAAGATCCGTCTTGGTTGATCCGTTATCCCTCGAGGATGTTTACTCCCCTCCGTTTTCTTCAGGGGGTTAACTTGGGAAGTACTTTGAAAACGGTGGGCTCAGCGATAGACATGGGAAGACATGCCGATCGATCGGTCATGTCACAGCGTTAGGATATGCGAACAAGGGAGTTTTGGTACGGGGGAGAGGGATGGTGTGTGGTGTTCTTTTTGGTTTCTTTTGGGGCAGTACACAGCGGCAGCAGAAGAGCGTGGCTCTGGTCCAGTCGTCTCAGCTGAGGCGAAAGCGGAATCGTGTGTTTCCACACCACCAGGTCGAGATCTAGAGGACATCGGGTTGTACTCGAAACGAGGCGTGGGGGTGAATTAGACACACTATTTTGCATCACGAATAGGAGTTGAATTCGTCAAGCATCATATCACCACGGCGCGACCACGGCATCATTACGAGAACTTTGTCCATCTCGGAGACCAACTCGAGCCCGAGACCCCTTACAGCCAGTGCATCAATCGGCGGCCACGGCACCGAAGCAGAGCCTCACGATTTTAGAGTCCGGGACTAACACGCCGCGAAATATGAAGCTCCAAAGCGCAAAGGCGGCGAGGATCTTGGCTCAAATTGGCAGCCAGCTCCGTGGTGTGTGTCCTAGAGACGATCATCACTATTCAGACCTACGGATCCCGCACTCAAGATCAAATCGAAATGCTGACCCCTCGGGCGTGTTTTAGCAGAGCCTCATGGAAACAAGCGCCAAGAAAAGGATTGAACTATAAACTTTGGAGACTGCCCTGAATTGTGTCCGTATTTCGTACACGGGGGACGGGCAGAGGAATGCAAAAGTCGAGACCGAATCCTTTTCTGCTCAAAGCAGAATCCACCTCCGTCCGCGAGTCCTGTGCGGTGTGCCACGAGAAAGTCAAAAAAGAGGAAGGCAGTGGGCAGGGAGACAGGCAGCGGCAATGGACCCTGAAAGGGGTAAGTGTCAGTTTCAACGAACCATGACGGTGATTCCTCTCCCCTCCCAGCACAGGTGGGTGGGTGAATGTTTATTCGCCCTGGATGGAGGCCCTGGACAACTGATAGAGGCCCTGGATGAGAAAGACGGCCCCCCGCCCACAGGACTCGGGTCTTGGGACGTCGCGGACCACTTCAGACGATACACTCTGGGGCTCGGGACGGGAACTCCAGACGATACACACGGAATGGGGAGGGGTTTGATTACGTACGTCCCCTCCTGTGCCGAAGGTGGAATATTGACGACGACATACGACGACCACGTCGGCCACCACCGCCACCTAACATCCCGCCGACCGAGGGCGCGTTTCGGCGAGTTGTAAGTTTCGGTGGAGATTATGGAGTCCTTTTTACGGCAACGGTCGATAATCTCCGGGACAGCCGGCCTTTGCCATCCCGCCGGAATCCGATTGAGAAACCGGCATTCCCGCCTTTTGCTTGCGACTGCGAGTCGCGAACCTGCAGAAGCTCACACGACACAATACCGGACGTGGAGATGCCAAGAAATGGGATGCGGGTCACTTGGCAGCAAGGTCAATACTGAGTCTTCGAATACTCTCTGTTTCTCTTTCGCTCTCGAGGTTCGGAGGAATACCATGCTTAGCTTCGAATCGGCTTTTGAGGAAACTTTCTGCCTCGGATCGGATATTTTTCTTCCATAGTATGGTATCCGTGGTAGCAGCCGCAGTCAGCAGCATTGATCAAGGCAGGGCGCTTGCTTTTCGTCTTAGTGATGCTGACAATATCACAACTTACACGTATTCCTGGTGCCGCGCATCGCGCATCGCGGAATCACGGACTTCTCGCCGTTCAATCTATATCCAAGCCAACGATCATCGTCCGTGTCCGTGTATCCATACTACGGTACTACCGTACGGATAGTGTAGGGTTCCCTTGGTCCCCCTCTTTGAGGGTCCATCCAGTGCAAGATTTCCCAGGGAAACAACGGTCGCAACTCTGCAGTTAAGGACGACACCCAGCCGATATCAGGTTACTAAAAATGGTCCAAAGGAGGGATGGGCCCGGGACGGGAAGGGGGCGGCGAAGTGGCAGCGCCAGCAAGAAAGTGAGGGCGGGAAAGGGGCACGCGCGGGGGAGGGGGAGAGAAAACACCAGATGTAAGATTTGCAAAGTCACCGAAGATCAGGACAAGGACCAAGGGACGACCGAGAAAGCGACGAAACGTGCTCTATACTTTGCCCTTTTCTCACTTTCTTGGCCACAGACTCCGATTGTCAGCACACCACACCGACCGAGTTTTTGCAAGCTTTGAAAGTCCCATTGTCATTTCTGTTATCCCCCAACCCCCGCCCTGAACCTTGTCTCCATTTCTTCTTCTGTGACGGCATCGTCAGATCGAAATTTAGAGTTCTGGTTCTCTTGGTTGGTTCATCCCGCAACCAAAACCCTTACACCACGCCGCTGGGGACCAACTCGAAACGCAAATTCCAGACAGCGCGAGACCCGTGGAAAGAGCAGGAACAAGGGGTTGGTTAGGGTTCAGGTTGGAAGTGCCGTGTGGCGGTGGCGAAGAAGGGAAAGCCAAAACCAAAACTCGACACTTGCGAGGAAAGTTGTGATGGAAGTGAGGAAGGTTTTCCCTAGCAAAAGAGCTCAGCCATTGAAGAAGAAACACACACACGTACACACACCGTAATCTCTCGTCAGCTTGTTTTGGCCCTTGCTTGTGCGCGCTGTACGACCAAGGAAAATTCATTGTCTCTCTGATTACCCATCTCTGACTACAAAACTACATGACCACTATAATCAGATTTATAGTTTACTTGGACTCTTCAGCTCGGTTGCGCTGAAAGGGCACCACCCCGCGATAGTAGGAGCAGAACGGGGAAAAGGACAAAATAGCTCTTGTCGACACGCCCCCCAAAGTCCCTAGTGTGCACAAAGTCCCATCCCCTCATCCTCAACTTTGGAAGCCATCATCTCCAAAAGATCTAAGCCTTCATCTTCCGTTCTCAAAACCGCCTAGACAACTTTACGAAATCATCCATCCCCCGTTGACCTGTTGTTTTGACAACCGGAATCTACTCCGGAGAATTGTTGTTCGTCCAAACCAGCCTTAAGCCACGCCGGACTCACCTACATACACACCCTTCCGCAAGAAGACTAAGGCAGCAAGCCCGGCCATTCTCAATGACAAGACAATAAGGCATTGCTAGTTCCTACCACACTTGGTTACGGCCGTACGCGTGTACTTTTCTCCATGGCTCACGCTCACGCTCACGCCCCTCCCACTTTCCCTTTCCCCCAAAATACCTTTTCCGTATCGTCGCTACAACGGCCCTGAGAATCCCTCTCAACCCTTTTTTCGCTGTCCCCCCCTTGAATAAGCAAACCTGTATGTACGCCCCTTATCAACCCAGCGACATTTAGACTCTGGTGGTGCAGCACGGCACGGAATCCTTCTCGAGCCATGGTAGTACAAGACCGCCCACGCCCCGACAAAAGACTTGAACAATATCAAGAACGAACGTAATGCTAAACTTTTTCCCAAAACCTTGCTTGTAGCCCTTGAGTCCCCCCCGCCATCTTCACGCCCCTGTCTGCCTCCCCCTCACCACCACCATCCACCTCCTCACGCCCCTGCTTTGTATTCCCCTCACCGGTCGAAGTCATCTCCAATTTTTTTTCGACACCTCACAAAGCAAAGATCTTTCCCCCCCCCCCCCTTTGCCTGCCGGTCCTTTTTGGCTGTACTATGTACGGATACGTCTCTGCTATGCCGTGGCACGGTTGGGGGAAACAACCATGGTTTGGGAATGTGGGAAGTGGGGCCAAGTGCGAGGGGGCAGAATTTCTTCCTGACTTGACACATTTTTGTTGGTGAGCGAACAAAGGCAATTAAGGTTTATATCCCACATTCAGGTTTTCATTTTTTTTTCGTTTACCTTACCTCACCGCCGCGAAAGAATTGACTCAACTTGCTCTGGACTTTTTTCTGCCGAAAAAGAAAGTCTTGTTCCCATTCCTTCTGACTCCGTTGACAGGCCAGGGGGGCAAGGGGCCGTGAGAAGTCAGGTCGATATGCATGATCACATCGACCTGAAAGCCGCATCAAATCATGTAAAAAAAAGAGGTCCTCTTACAAGTTGCACGGGAATGTGCTCTGTCGTGGTGCGGAAGTTTATTATCCCTCTTGTCCACTTGCCTCTTTGATTCTTTTGCCCTTGACACGTAAATTGAGTCCAAGACCTGCGCGGTCAAAACTATAATCTCTCTCTCTCCCTTTCTTTTTTTCCCTCTCATCATTTTGCCCAATCTGCTCGTCCGACCACAGTCTTTACTCTTGGACGAGACCTGTGGACCGAAGATGTAAACTCTAGTAGTGATTGTAAAAAGGAAAGAGTAGTAGAGTTTAGTTGCACGGTCAAAAGAGAGGCTTGAACCACCAAAACCAAAGCTCCCCTCTAACCAATTGTAGACTCTCGTATACATGCTATTTCATTCGTAGGTTTGTAGGTTTGTAGGTTTTTTGCGCAAACTTTTGAAGGCTCCCGGTTGCGAACCGAACTTACCTACAGACGATAGAAATCCAAAGTTGCGAGTGCGAACGGAAAGACGTCGTCGTCGTCGTCAGTAGGTCCCCTTATTTTTCGCAAATCCCCCAAAAGTCTATTATTAAAAGATTTGATCCTGCTGACAGAGACGAACGAGCGAGACACAGGTGACAGTGACGACGGGGGGAAAGAAAGTAAAAAAGAGAGCTTTGACAGTGAGTTGCCCGCCCGCCCGGACGGGATGAACATGTCAATCGGCAAATGTCATGCATCTCAGCGCCCGCATCTCTTTTGCCTTGCCAGTCAAAGAGGTCCAACACTTCCACTACTCAGCTTACGCATCTTCTTTCCCCCGGGGTTCGGTTGACGATGATGTCGATCACACTACCCCGTCCCCCCCATTTGCATTTGTTGATTCACTGCACTTTTGAACAGCCAACGAATAGGCGTACGCTAGTTACGGAGCTTTGGTTGGAATGAACCTCTGAAGCCTTGTGCTTGCATCAAATGCCCGTTATGTTTTTCGATTTTTCAATCTTGCCCTCTTTTAGGGGTATGCTGCGAGACTACACATGCTTACGGCGGTGACGGCGGGTGGACGGCGGCGCCCATTTGGAAAAAAGAGAGTTGTAACTTGTAAGACAAGAAGGTGGACGGAAAAGCGTAGTGAAGAATGGAAAAAGGGCATCCGTAAGGTAGGCGTGGACGGCGTGAACGATGCCACGCGATACGCGATACGCCTTATTCGGTGGTGCAACGCTAGATCACCAGACCCCCGGGGAAAAGGAGGAGGCGTGTGGGAGGTTCGTCGTCGTCGTCGTCGTCGTCGTCGTCGACGACACCGGATTGTCTACTACACAATCTACTATCTAACCGCCCGTAGCTAGCAAGTTCAGTAGTCTTTCGTTTGTTCCCGTCAGCGGCGACTATTCCCGCGATTGCTTTGGGCTTAAGAGATTGGTGTGGTGGGATGCCTAGACTCTCAATCACATGTCTTTGCGACTAGAGAACCCAAAGAGACGGGATAGCTTCCTTTTTCTCTGTAGGGGACTTTCGTAGAGGGTGTGTGTATGTCAGAGACAGAGAGAGAGAGACACACACACACATAGAAAAGAGAGAGTGAGCCCTTACCGGTATGGATGTGTGGCTTGACTTGTCAATGATGACTACAACCCACCAACCGCAAAGGAGGCTAGAGCAAGAACGCCAGAGATGCGGAATTCATGTACGCGCCCCTTTTGGTAATTAAGGTTTTCCCACCTGTGGCCCGTCCCACCCTCTTCTTTGCTTCTTCCCTCCGACCCTCCTCGGGCATACGCCGCCCTTGTGCATCTGTTTCTTGCTGTTGTCATCGATACCTGTAGCAGTCGCGGTACGCTGACCTCCAGGGGAGTAGGTATACGTACCTAAACCATACTTTTCTCCCAAATTACTCTCTCCCTCTTTACCGTCCCGTCCTGTTTTCCCTTAGACACACCCAAAGGGCCTAGGCCTAGCTATGGACGGCATGGACCAGGCAAACGCCAGCTGTCACACCATCTACCCGATACCCCTTTCAGCGTTTTGGTTTTCGTTCAGCAAACTTCATGGAAAGTGTGGTTTTGGTCAGTTCTCTCCTGCAACAACTGTCAGAATGTGGCTAGGGTAATCGTTGCGGTGTGCATGTACTCCGTACTCATGTACTCTCTCTGGAATGGGCAATGAGCCCAACGGCTGAAAGTATGCAAAGTTCGCGCATCGATGGCCCATGGCAAGCTGTGCTCCCGGCGAGCTCAATAGGTGACTAGTCGTAGGTGTTGCACCTATCGTGCCGTTGAGCCATATCACCACACCCCTTGGACAGCTGAACCGTCTGAAAGGTGCAACACACCGAGCAGACAGAGTTGAAAAGGAAATGAATGGGCAAAGCAACCTCCCGCTGCATCGGCAGCATCCATCGGTCATGATCGGTTGACAACTTTGACACTGGCATCGGCACATCGGCACCGACACCGGCAGTAGCGATTGCATGGGCGCGCTTCATTTCGTCGATTCGCTTTGCGCCGATATCACGACCGCCCAGGTGCTTCGCATCGAGCCCCTCAGGCGACGACGGCCCTGCTGTTGCCGCTGCCGCCGACGCCGCTGCTGCTGCTGTGCCTGAACCTATTCGTACCCCGCCATGCTGGCCTACCCAGCAGCCTGTCGTCCGTCGCATGCCCGCAGCCCCAGGCCATGCTTCTGCATGAGATGCCTCACCTTGAAGCAAGGAAGAGAGAGCCACGAATTCTTCGTCCCTTGTAGAGTTTACCCCTTGCTTGTGTTGTATGGCATCAATAGGCTGCAGCGGCGACAGGAGCAAGCCTCACTCCATACGCAGTATCGCGGCATCGCCAAGTTCCAAACGTACCTGAACCTAGAGGTTTCCCCCAGTACAAGTCCGTAGGACGTTCCGTAGGGGAGTCGCAAAAACAACTGCACATGGCCGAACCGGCCTAACCCCAGTTTGCAGGCTGCAGGATAGGACCAGCATCGCAGTAGTTCCCAAGAAAAGAAGAAAGGATATGGAGTACTCCCACCTTCAACTCCTGAGTCCAAGAAACCTTCTAGAACAAAACATACGATCGAACAATGCCCAGCGCAACCGCAGCATATGCTCTTACAATTCCACGACTTGTTAGGATTTTTGACTTTTCGGTTCTCTAGTTCTCTTGTAGGGCGTGTGGGCGGCCTGGCAGGTCCCGCTACGTGTCTTTCGTCTCTCTCTGACAGTACCAAGTCGGTCCTCGCCTATTGAGTTCGACTTTGCCTCAAGCTTCCAATCTGGCCTCGCCGAGCTGCCTGACACTCGCCGAAGTGCCCCGTATGGTGTCCATATGCTGCGCCGTGAAGAGGGTTCGTAAGGTATGGCCTTGTGATGTTGACCATAGTCACCTGCCCCAGCCCTGTTTCTCGCTGACTGGCATAAACATGCCGGCCCGGTGATGAACGGTGAACTCGTACCGATACATCTCAAAGACGCACGATTTCTTTCACACCACAGATTTCCCTCCTGCCCCCCGGCCGACGTCACGCTGAGACTCCGCTGACCTCCGCGCTTCGCGTTACGTACTGCGGTACGCTCCCGTGCGGTGCGTTGCGGTGCGAATCCATGGGACAAGAACGGCACAAAGAGAGACCCGCATCTGCACCCACGGCGGCTCTAAACCTTCTTTTCACTGCCCACCCGGACCCCGGGCCTAGGACTGCTTATAGGCTCGGAAAGGGCGTGTAAATGGAGTCACGACTGGGAGATCTTCTATGGAGACGACAAGTCTTGAGACGATCCTCCAATCACCGCCCCCGGTTCACCTCAACTTGGCAGTTGATGTGCTCTACAGGTAGAACTTCGGCTATTTGCAAGGGGGTGGGCGTGAGTCAAGTACCGTACTCCATACTCAACCATACAACCAAGAGCCAGGCCTGTCAAGGAATGTTGGAGGAAAGCTTGGCCATCTTGGTCGGTTAATGGGCGACAGCGCCAAGGAAACCCAACCCGATTCTTGCGAAAAATAGTCGCGAACTACGAGCATGGAGTACGAAGACACGAGGCGCGTCCCACTCTTGGAGCTTGCGGTCATGCCAACCGCCAACCGCCAAAGCGGCTCCCACGAAGACTTACTCGCTGCGACCTTGCCATTCCTGTACAAGAGGCGGCCGCCCCGTAGCGTGGTATTTTCGACTGGAGACCACACTACCGTGATCGATCGCCCGGGCACCATGTTCGATGGGAAGCGCGCAGCAAAAAGGCAACTGAGATGGCGAGCAATGCTCCCAAAGCTTATCTGCGACGGAGTGGACATCTGACGATCATAGAGTTTTTGGAGGATGGATGCGAGTGCGCGCAGTGTCCGAGAGAAGATGAGAGCCAGTCAGTGAGAGTGAGGAAGAATGACACCGGTAATCACTAATCGGTGGCCAAGGCAAAAGGAATATTAAGGTTTCCTGATAGTGTCTTTGTTGTATATCGACGATCGACATGGAGCTCCACGGCGATGACCCCTATTTTCGTTACTCTAGATGCGAAATAGGAGATGGTGTGGGAATGGAGCTAGACCAGACCGACACAAGCGCCACACGCCCCTCCATGGTTTGTCATTCCCGCATCCTCCTTTGACCTTTTCCGTGAGGTGTGCGGCGTGCCGTGCGTGCGTGCTTGGGGATGGTCCCTCTCTCCCAGACTGCCGGGCTTCCAGTGATGTATGAGGCTTGGATCGAGCGCTTGCAAATCTCATTAGGCTTTCTGTCCAAACGTGTGTAGTTGCTGAGAGGCTGGTGCGGCGCGCTAGCCTCCCTCACTGCTGGGAAAGCCGCGTAACTGCGTAATCTGCGTATCGTCTGTGGTTGGTGTGTTTTGGACAGCCGTCTCGCGAGCACGGGATGGAATCGGAGGAATGTTGAGATGGACGACAAATCTGCCCAGGTGGAGCATATCGTCCGGGAAAGGCAGTTCCCTTCGAGGCCCCCCCAGTATCAGATAGTATCCGTAGGCGAGACAGAACATGGGATTTGTGATTTGCCGTGGGATTTTTTGGGGTCTTTTTAGACTTTGGTAGTGCATGACATGCCCTCGAGCTCTCGCACAGGGACTGGTTCCCGTACGAGAAGGAGGAAATGTCGTGCCATGAGCAGCAGATGAACAGCCAGTCACCCTCCAACAAGCTTCCCTAGCAGAAAGTGGAATCAGCATGAAGGGTCGCAACGAATGGCCAACAACGATGGAAACATTGCTGGTCTCGAGATCATACAGCACCTTACTACTTGGTATAGGCACTCCCTGGTCCTTCCAGAGCGTGATGCGATGTAACTCAACCTGCCACCCAGATTCGCTGTAGATCGCCGCCGGGGAAAGGGGAACGAGATTTGGCAGGCGCGCCGTAAAGCTTATCCCGAGGGATGTAATTGTAGGCTGTGCTAACTCTATTCCTCCCTGCCTTGCACGCCTGGCAGCAGGCTGTCTTTTCGTCGTTCAGGCTGGTCTCTGGCTGCCTAGGTACTCAGTCTGGATAGCCAAGCAGCCTATGGCCCTCTTGCTGGTTCGCCTCTGGCCCTTGCTTTTCCATCTCTGTACCCCGGTCGACCAGGCTGCCCCGAAACATGGCTGATCGGTTCGTATGGTGGACCGCGTGCGAATACACTACACTAGACCGGGGGGGGGGGGGGGGAAGGGGGGAGATGACGGCTATTTCGCCGTTTGCTTCTAACCCCGAAAGTTTAAAAAGCAAATCCCGATTCGACAACCATGCCAACTTGCCAACGGCAGTGTAAGGTGAGACACTCTCTCACCTCTGCTACAAGCGGCTAGCAGACCTGCCAGTGCACTTGGGCCCAGCTCAGTAGTGCTAGAGTAGCCTGAAGCCTCCCGTCTTTTCGTCCGTGCCAAATTCCAGCTGGTCGGTGTAATCCGGAGTCCGACATGGCATGTTTGTCCATGTTTGTCCATGTCTACTCAACAACTGCTCACGGCTGTTCTCAAGTGCCCTATACTAGCCTCTTGGAAGTCGAAACTTGGGAGCCTTCACCTGTAACTAGTGCACATTTGCCGATCTTAGTTGGCTTGTCCTAAAGGGTTTGAGACGGTCAAAACCTTCTCACGCCCATCGGCAGACTTCTCTTCGTCAGAGAGCACCGTGTTGTTGCTTGCTCTCACTCTCCTTGTGTATAGCTCCACGTCACGTGCCCCGTCCCGACCGCCGCTGAACCGGAACACCTGCCGAGTAGTGCCAAATGCTGAGCTGCTCTTCATATCTGCCGGCATGTTGAAGACTGCCGTTCCGTTCCGGAACGTTGAGAGTTTGGAAGTCTTGTACTGGCTGCTTTGTCCCTGCCTGTTGCGGGTTGGGTTATTGTAAGCCTCAAGCCCGGTCGGGTAAACACC